AGTCCAAGTCGCCTTACCCTCGCGAGCCGGCACGGCAGGAAGGTTATTAGCCGAGCAACCCTTAAGGCTCTTAAGCCGCTCCTAGGAGACGGATCAGTAACGAGAACACCACGAAGGCTAAGGAAACATACCGAAAAGAAGACGGAGAGCATAGTGTTCATCGACTCCAGAGAATTCGCAATATCCAACCGCGTCTTCGCATCAGTGATATTACGAGCCCGCGCCCGACGGCGAGCCAGGGTAGCGCCTGATACCCCGGGAGTAGCAATTGCTGCGATCGCCGCAGCAGCGACTGCCGCTGGAGTCGCAGGCGTATCATCGGCGCCGCGAAGAGCTTTCTTACACTGCTGTTGCAGCGGACCAATAACAGCCTGCTGCGAGTCAGAATAATAATCGCAACGAAGGAGTAACGACATACCGGGTCTGGTTGGGCTTGCTGAAGCGCGTCTGACAACAACCGCGCGGCCTGACGATATTGGGCTTGAACGGGAACANATGTTTTCCCACAGCTCTTGTGGGCACATACTGCGCACTTGGGGCTGGCATCTAGGAGGCGAATTAGAAGAGGACTCGACGTAGAAGGGTTGCGATAACGAACTTGTTGCATCTGTGCAAAGCAGAGGTTGACTCCCAGCTGTCCATTTGCACATATGACCTAGGCAACGACGACAAGGAACGGCTCTATCCACGGGTTAGTTACGGGGCCGATACGAGGGAAAGGAGTCAAANGCACCGGACCGCCCCTGAGAAGTCGGCCTTCGTAAGGATACTGGGCGAGTAAATTGACATAACGCAGGATTTAGGCGGCGAAGGCGAGGGTGATTGAAGGTAAGATCAATGATGCTTTGCCCTTGCTACATCGGAATTCTGGTGGGTTTATATCCCCTTTCGCCCCTTTGTTCCCTGCGAAGAAGCATCGGCCGCTCTGGGTCACAAAGGCGACAAAGAAGCATCACGGAACTGTCACTACGTTCAACTTCCTGTCTATATTTATCCTCAGGAGTACAAAGGGAGGGCCCAAAATAGCAACACGTTCACAGCGAGGACAAAGCGAGCACGAAGCTTGAACCACGTTGAGGCTCTTGCACAGGCGACACCTTTGACAAAGGGGATCGGTCACGAGGTTGGAAAAGGAATATCGTCAAAGGCACCGGGGCGGCGCCTCGGAAGGAAGGGCAACATGTCAGAGCCNATCTAAAGAGGGCGCGGTCGCGCAACGGCCGCGCACCGGCCACGTTACGGGGGCGCGAGCTAAGGGTTGCGAAGCCCTTAGCTTAGCAACAACACTATAAAAGACCTAAAATCTAGGGAAGGAGTTAAGGAAGGCAGAGATAAATACAGTCACTTCGCTACCCTAAGCTTGCGTATTCGCTGTGTAGCTACCTGTGATCATCCCTTATCCCTCTTCACTCTCTTCCACGAACCCGGCTTCTGACATCTTTAATTAAGGATAAGTTTATAAAATACTTATAACCTTATTATTAATATTAAACTTAATATAATAATAAAGCTTATTATTTTTAAGCTACTTAATTTATACTTAAGTTATTAATAAGCTATTAAGTACTTTAATTTTAATTTTTTACTTATTATTATATATATTTAACTAATAAAAGAAAGTAAGCTTAGTAGTAGTAATACTAAAGTTTTTTAAAATTTCTATTATTTTATATATAAGTAGGGCCTAGTACTTTATTAAGTCTTACTTTTATTATTACTAAGCTAAAGTATACTAATAATATATATTATATACTAAAAAGTTAAAAAATAGTAGATAATTATACTTATTATAAATAATATAATATAATTACTTTTAGTTAATGCTTTTCTTTACTATTATTATAATTTTATAAAAGTATTTTATTTATTAAGTTAAAGATTATTAAATTTTAGTATTTTTTAAAGCTTAAGTATTAGTATAGTTATAAATAAAGGTATAATATATTTAAACTTTTATATTATTAATAACCTATAGATTAATACTTTTTTTAGTATAAAGGGTAGTACTATTATAGTAATAAAATATTTATAAAAAGCTAAAAAGATTTTTAAATAAATTATATATTACTAACAGTAGTATAATATTATATTAAGTATTTATAATTTCTTTAGCTTATTATAATACCTTTATAATATCTTTAGCTTATTATAATACTTTTAATATATATATAAGCAGCTGTAATACCTTTTTAATATATAAAAGTAGTAGTAAATACTTAATATTATCTTTAGTCTAAATTATTACTTCTTTATTATAAAATTTATAAACTTATAGTTATTTAAGGTTAAAGCTATTTTTAACTTTAGTAGCTAGTACTTTTACTAATACTAATACGTTTAATAATAAAAAAAAGGTATTAATTTTATTAAGGCTAGCGCCCTAGGAAAGCTTTAATAATAGCAGTAGGTTAAGGGGATTATTACCTAAGGAGGAAGCTATTATAATATAAATTATAATATTAAATATTATAATATTTAACAGTAAGGCTGAAAAAATGTAAAGTTAAAGCCTTATATTATATTTTTTCGCTAAGTATATAATACGCTAAGGCATTACACTATAATTTAGTATGGCTTACTGGGAACGGTAGTGTAGGTGCATTAATTTTAGTACGGGCACGGGCCACTACTGTGAAAATAGGAATATGCTACTGTAAAAATAGGAAGACTCAATATGATTGACAAAGGTTACGGCATCCAGCATAACATTCTCAAGGATTAGGGACTTGTACTTTTCGATAGGATCTGTGGCGTTTGATGCATCACTAAGGCCAAAGAAACGGTGCTCGAGACTGATGACCATGCCGCCGACCTCTTGAGCCCATTCTGGATAAATGGTTCTCTCCTATGAAATGTTAGAGTCCACATTTGTTTGAGAATATGTTCTTCCAAATACCAGACAGGCAAATTTTGCAGTCTCGGCTTGCTGATAGTAAAAGATTGGACCTCCAGGCTTGAAATGAGGTTTGATGATCTGATACTGCTGTTGAAAAGTCCCATTTGTAGTCGAATTATGGTCAACCAGCTGCGTGAAGAATTGGGTTTTGATTGTACAGTTGGGTGAAGCAGAGCTTTGGGCATTAACCGCAATAGCTTGGAGACCAAGCAATGCTGGAAGCCAGCACTCTACTGTGAACAAACGCATTATGCCGCTAAATGGGAGTGAAATATAATTGCAGTGACGAGAGTTGATGATTAAAGTAGAGAAAACTGAAAATTGCTGAAATCATGAAGTGCAGCAATCTGCCATGTTTTATACCAATTCCTCGAGCACTGGACCAGTCACTTCATAACGAGGATGCCGCAATGATGTCCAAATCAGGAAAACATGATCCTATTCATTTCGACTTCGTGTAGATGTACTATTTTAGTTTCCTGACGCAGCACTTCACGCATGACGCTGTAGACAGCATCATCATTCAACAATACAATAGTTTGCAGTATGGCATAGAACTCTTTTCGGCTAGGAGAGCCTGAACAAGGCTTTGATCTCACATGAAGCACACGGTCTCCCCGTAAGTAGGCACTGACCCGACATGACTTATTGGGCACAAATTTAGTTGGCTTCCTCTGGCCCGCTTTCAAATCCCTTCGCCAGTTTTGGAGCAGATTCCATCGCGTTGTTGTCCCAATCGGGAAATGGTGATCATCAGGGCTGTGCCAACCTGAAATGGCTACAGATCTTAATACAGGTTTTGCTCTACAACTGACGAAGGATCGCGGATGTAAATAACATACAGGTGACCTACTTGTGTCCTTGATTGGTTAAATTCATTTGCGGTGCAGTTTGTAAATGCTGGTAGAAATTTCGACTGGTTCTATGGTGGGATCCCGGGAAGCAGTTAGTAGGGCGATAGGAATTGTGACGCTGACACCAAGGGGCGAAGCTTGTAAAGCGTGGAATCCTTCCAGCGCTATTGGATCGCCGTTATCCCTTTGCGTGCCATAAGGCACCACCTATGTATCGCATCCACTTTTCTTCTATATTGAGGGGAGAATACTCAATTTCTGACTCTTTGATTGGTTACAGCTTTGAAGTGTACATAGGTGGTGCCTTATGGCACTCAAAGGAATACACTGGTTCTTGTGATGAGAACTTATATAATGGAGAGAAATTCTCTGCCACAGGTCAATTTTGTAGTGAGACAGTAACGATTCCCCGATTCTTATAATTACATTTCCACGCATTCCTGTTCTGCGTTTGCTTTTATCCACTATTCGTGCTGAAATTATGGCTCGCGGCGAGGATGCTGAAGTCGCCGCTTATACTAGCACTACCCTTCAACTGATAAAAAGCCCACTGGCCGAAAGAAAGAACGTCGAAGAGGCAACTCTTAACAATTCTAGAAAGCCTCCGTTCATTGCTGATGCCGATGTAGACGATGGCCTGGAGTTTGCCAAGGTACAAAGTGTCAGCCATTTCTTATAGATACGTTGCTGATACGAAGATAATAGCATGAAACTTCTTCTACTCTTGAGGTAGCGCTGACATCGATATTCTCCGCGTCAAAAGTCAACTGACAGTATAAGCTATTCTATGATCTTTGGTTTGTCGCAAACTTGAACGTTTTTTCAACAGTATTGCACCCTCTATAGTCACTTGATGCACAAACTTATTGATTCTGTCGTCCAGGTTCATGAAATCAACGATGTTTCAAGTCTTGGGTCATTTGTGGGGTACATCTTGTATGCATATGAACCTAGGACATAATCGTTGACACGGGGCGTTGCTAACCCTGTAATAGACTTCTTTGGACGACCTGGCTTTTAACAACCCTGTATGATGTCCGCTATGTCACAGACAGTGTCTGGGAGCGACTATGCCGTGCAGTGCACTTAGCTGTCATGGTTGGCTTTGCTGAACTCGGTCCAACATTTGACTTTTTCAAAGAAGCAAAATCTGTCTTCCGGGCCATGTGTACGGTTAAAGATTCAAGCATTTATGGATCAACTTGAGCTTATATGCTAATTGATGATAGGCTTATTTCTTATGGTGTCTAGATTCATGCTCGCGCTTCAGTATTTTACAGTATTGCTCCAAATTCGCAAGCATAGAGAGACCAGAGTACCACTCATGATTGCCACGGGTATCCATTTGCTATTTGCTGTGTAAGGGAAACCTTTACTTTTGTTGACAAACTATCATCAAGAGTACTCCACTTCAGCAAGGAACATACTGACTAGAAACTATGCAGAATATATTTAGCGGTATCCTTTTTGTCCGTTCATGAAGCAAGCTCAGTCGTTGCCGTCAGCTGGTATATTGGGGCAGTAGCTGAGGTCACCGTCCACCTTGGGCTCTCCAGTCTCAAGGCTCTCAGCTTGTCTGATACTCATCTAAGCGAGCGCATGAATCTACTTACTTTAATAATCCTTGGTGAAGGTGTGTTGAGACGAATTAAGTAGCATTTGTCATCGGCTAACTGGTCACATAGGAGCAATCATTATAGCGAGGAATATCCAGACTGTCGTGAAAAATACCTTCCTGAAGAACAGCGGCGATATATGGTGTGCGTAATATTCAGTTCATCTCATTATTATTGCACTCTTTATTAACAGCCTTTGTAGCTGCTGCTCTCATCGGGGTTGTCACATGCGCGGTTGCCCTGATCTACTTCATCTACCAGATGTACTTTGATTGGATGCATTCTGGCAAATTGAGTCATAAGCGACAAATGTTTTGGGTTTCCTGGCATCTTCCATTCCATGTCGCTCTAGTACTTCTTCTAGAAGGCGCAAATCAGTTCATTGCTTGGTCTCAAGCGCTTCAGTCGATCAAGTCAGCCGCCCAGAGTATGGTCGATATTAATTACGAGCTACCTAGTAGCCCAACTACAAAAGAAGTGGTTCGAATATTGAACGAAACCGTCACAGAGCTCCTCGAGTCATACCCTCCAGAAGATGAAGACACCGCTCTGGACGATGTCGAAAGAACTTATAAGAGCCTACTTACTCTTCCTGACTCCTTTTGGGATGTACATGGCCAACTAGCCGACAACGACCCAGAAATGGTTCGCTGGCTGAATGGCACGAGGGATCTTGCACAAACTGTCTTCGATGGAATATTTGCTTCGTTTAGTCTCGCGGCGCCTGCAGAGGAGACCGAATCTACTGATGTGCAGTCTGCCACGGCAGCCGCATATTTGGCCACTGCGAATAAGTTTAAAACTGTCGTAAGTTCAAACCCCCCTTCAAAAGTTCTTCAGCTAATCCGTCCTACAAGTTTATCTATGCTTTTATTACAGCTGGCCTAGTATTGATCCTGATGACCGCTCTACATGTTGTATGTAAACAACGTGGCTGGTCGATTTTCAACATACTTCGAGCACTGATCACCGTTGGCATGGGTATCGGGCTTGCATTGACAAGTTTGCTCACGTTCAACCAGGGTGCTCTCGCCAACTTTTTACCAACGCCATGGCCACTACCGACCATTACGATCTGTTATTTCGTTGTTCTGGTTCTTAGTCACATACCTGAGCCTAAACAACTTTGCCCAAAGAGCAAAGCAATATTATATAGCACTCTGGGGAAATAAAAACGATGCTAAGCTAGGGACTGTGCAGGAACTCTGGAGGATGCTTGGTATGGCAAGGGTGGATAGCGCTAACGTTGACTGTTTAACACAGGACATCCAGGAATTAAAACAACATCGAAAGCAAACTGACCTAACCGGGAAGAGCCGTTGTAATGTAGCTATATAGTTATGGATAGTCAGTTGTTAAGTATTTAGATATATATACCGTACATGTTCTGAAAGCACATGTAGTGTTGTCTATTCGCAAGGTTGCGACAGCTGTTTTGGTCTTATAGAAACAGCGGCGCATATAGTGTAGGTTGATCAAGTAGTTGTTGTACCACGCAAAACGCACCTAAATATGCGGCTATAAAAGCAATCTAGTCTAATTCATCGCTCTACAGACAGCCAAATGCGAGAACGAAGGCATGAAAGTATATATCGAAGGGACTTTTGTGAACAGTGGATATGTATGGAGCGCTAGTCGGGATTAAGTGTGAGTTAACCATGCCAAGTCGCTTCTATAGCAGGAGGATTGTTGACGCATGACTCATCGGCCAGATGATTCCACATACATGTACACGTTGAGATATTCGCCATGTAAGGGCGTGCTTAAACCAGTGGCAATTGGTCCTTTAATGTGTTCAGATATTGATATCACGACGAAGAAGCGCAATACATACACAGAATCACGCTTATGAATCCGTACAAATGACCAGACGCCAACGCTAAATTTAATTGAACTTGGTGACTCGATCCTCTTGGAATCTTCTTAGACTCTGCTCCTTCAGCACTTAATGCTTCCACCATAAATTGCAACTTGTTTCGCTGTTGGAAACTCTTGCATATCATACCATAGCTCATCAAAAACTCAGAAAGGAGTAGCCTGTTTACCGAAGACTTGAGAATTCGTAAAATCGCCACTTCAAATGGCCCAATCAACCCTTCCTTCAAACTGCGCTCTCGTCAACATCGGCACTCATTCTCTAGCCATCTACGTTCACGGCCCAGAACCCAGCAGCTCCAAAGATCCCGTTGTGCTTTTTGTCTCCGGTGTAGCAAGCGATGCTCTCAATTGGCAGGCCGCGGTACGATTGCTTCCTCACTCGCTGCGAAGCTACACGTACGACCGTTCCGGCTATCGCAACTCAGAGTCCTCGCCACTCGTCCCCTCAGCCGAGAATGTTGCTCTAGAGCTCTCTCTTCTGATTGAAAAGGCTCCCATTCCAAATCCTCTGATCATCGTGGGGCACTCCTGGGCCGGTGTGATCATACACGAGTTCATCGCACTGGAGGGAACTAGTCAGATCGCGGGTCTAGTGCTTGTTGACGCCAACCATGAAACAGCGCCACTGGTTATGGATGTAGATGACCCAATTCTCTGGAATGCTATAGCAGCGGGCGTTGAACCATACGCTGCTTGGGGCGTTGAGGCAGAGCACAAGTTGACGCAGGAGGAATGGGATGTATTCAAAGCTGCAGAATCGACTGACAAATACAAGCTAATTGCGCATAAAGAGGATGTAGAGCATTACTTGCCAAGTTTTGAGACTCTGCGCAAGAAGAAGCTCAGTGAAAAACAGCCATTGGTTGCGGATAAACCGGTTTATATAATTGGGGGCACACGAAGCAGAGACTGGAATGGATTATACAAGGCGGGAATCGCGAAAGGAAACGGAACTGAGGAGCAGAGGAACTACATTAAAGAGTTGATCAGGACGGTCGATGAGAAAAATGAGAGTCTCATGAAGAAATTTCTGAAACTCTCTACTAAGACCGAGCTCGTCTTTGCCACTGAGAGTGGACACTTTGTTCAGATGACCCAGCCGGACATTGTCGTTGATGGAGTGAAATGGGTCATCTATAACATCTCAGCATCTTCTTAGCTTGCAAGAACAAGAATTGGCTCTGACATCCAGACTCAGTGAATAACGTCTAAAAAGAAAAGAAGTTGAAAGGAACCGATTGCTCTACTACCAATAGCCGTATGTGACTTCAAATGCGAGATACACGCTTATATCATAGCCTCTCCCACGACTTTGGTTCCATTGCGTTTTACTTCTTAACATGTATATTCTTGGTTGCAGGTAGGCATGAAATAGAAGGATAGGAAGGCTTTGCACGGTTGACATGACATCTACATGCACTTAGCAATGAGCTGTCTATTATGCGCACGTATTTATCCTATACTGTCATTTTTTTTCTCCCAACTATTCCTATCTCCAAAGAATGATAAAGCCTACTGCAAGTTGGCAAAGCCCATTGTTCCATCATCGACGTTGTGGTCAATATATTTGCCCTGGAAGAACGCCTGTCCGACCAACCACTGGCTCCCAAACTCACTCGTCCCGTGGATACTAGCTGTGCAGTTGTTGCCGTTTTGGCTGAAAGCCAATGCCTCGGGCAAGATATTGAAGTTGTTGCCGCCGAATGCCAGCCCAATGGTAGGCGGCGCATCACAGGCGTAGTAGCCAGTGATGCCATTGCTGTTTGTCACGGCTTGGATGCCCGCCTTCTGGAATAGCGTCTTGACCTGTGAAGTAGGCCCGAAAATGACAGTCGTGCCGGAGTCTGTGATGATGGAAGCGCTGCGCTGAACCGCTGCGCCGTTCACAGTAACATCGCCGGTGACGATCCACTCGTCGCTGGCCGAGACTGAAGTCAAGCTGCCGCTGAAAGTGTCGGTCGCAACAGAACCATAGTAGAGCGTGCCGGTCTCGTCAGCGTTGAGCGCCAGCCCGAAGCGGCAGGATGACAGCGTGCCTTGGTCGCAGAGACTCTGGAAGAATGGCGTCTGGCCGAGAGCACTGCTATCGATACCTGCGTAGCCGATGAGGCCGTCGTGAGGGAAAGTCGGCGGCGACTTAGGGCTAGTGATGGCTCCAAGGTACTGCTGGGAGACGGTCAGGTTGGCGCCGTGTTGGGTGATGACATCTCGGTAAACTTGGCCCGACGCCTGTTGTGGGTCAGTAATCACGATTATTTGGTAACTGATTTCTGATTTAACTTGCAGACAAAGTTCCTGATCCATCGGGATTGGTCGTGGCATATGAAATTCGGAAGGTCTTCTTGGTGTTGACTGAGCTGGAACCAGGCTTGTAAATCCCCGGGTTCAAGATGGCGTCAGCGGAGCCAGTATCAATTAGGATCTCCAGGTTGGAGCTGCCACCAATGGTGAAATTGGAGAACCAGAAGCCCTGCGTATTTTAGCATTTCGAAATCAAATGACAACATGGGCAAATCGTAGGTCTTCTATTACCTGGTCGGCCCAGAGATCCGCTGTTCCTTGCACCAGCCGTCCCTTTGCTGTGGCAATGCTCTTTGCAGCCACGGCATCGACCTTCTTGAAGTGCAGAGGATGCGAGAAGTCGGCCTGGACAGCTTGGACAGCCGCCAACAGCGACAGCACCGTTTTGAACGACATGATGGACTAATTCTCAAAGCAACTTGAATCAACACAACAGATGGCAAGTAATTGTCGGTAAAGACAATACGGGACCATCCTACCTACATATAGTACCCCCTTACAGGATGCATAAATTTTCGTGAATCATTACACCGGTGTATCCTGAGGGGTACTTTCACATGCATCTATGCTGACCTTCTCAATTCAGTGTTTCACGGCCGCTGCAGCGTCGCATTGTAAACAAAGCGACGATCAACTAAGCTCAGATCAGCGATGGAGCTATCGTGAGTCTTCGGTGCTCCATAATAACGTGACCGAAGCTTTCAAACGTTCCCGGTTTATCCGTTTCCAAAAAGGAAAATAAATAAATTAGAGAGTCGAGATCTTTTGTAGATCAAGATTCCGAGATATCATTGGGTAATTTATTCCTATATTTGTAACAAAGAATGGATAGCCGAATGGATTTATGGAGGAGTGGCTGATGTCAGGGTACCAATGAGCGCGTATTATAACTTTTTGTCGATTCACACCTCATTCGCCCACATCGTTCAGATGATGTCTAATAACGATCCCTCATTCTTCAGTTGCCTCGAATGAATTTCTGAATTCTTGTAACAGCGTTCAAAGCAAAGTCATGATATATTTCGCGTGTCGCTGAATCATATGAGCCTGTATTGTTAATGCTCAGGATTCAAATGACTTATTTTGAGAATCACCACTTTCCTTTTTCGCGATTTCTTTTACGTGCAACTGTAATTGCGCCTTGTGACATCAGACGCTCTGGAGGGTGATTGCGCAATCTATCATGTTCTTCCCGAAGATGGAGACACTCACAATGATACGAAGACGGTTTTGCTCGCTCTGTTATGGAGCAGATATACAAGGTCATAACGCAGTCGCGGAATGCACGAGGCTGCTGATACCACAAATGGAATGAAGCGAAGCTCTTGCCAATCAATTAAAGTAGCGGCTATAGTTCAGTGCAAATGTGTGTCATCTTTTTTCTCTGTCACGAGGTTTTCCAGCGGATAGGAAGCCTGTTTTATGCTTACATGGATTACATTTGTGATTTTTACTATTTGCTTCCATTCACAAGCTGGGGTGTGGAAGTGGAAAGCAATGCGTAAATTTGTGGAAGATGAAGCCCAAAATTTCCGCGGCTCTTGATCATATGTGTTCAGTATAGCTAAAATGAAAAATGGCTTCAAAATACAATATAGATAGACACTAGTCCCCAATGTAGATACTTCATAGACCAACGAGCAAATGATCAGTAAGAACGACATATTTAGACGTAGAATAAGAGTGAACCACATGGCGAAACTTTAGAGTTTCTTCTTACTTATCACCTTGTGCGCTAAACTATTATTTTACTTGAGTGCCAAGAAGAGACAACCTAAACTCACTCATTGCTGTATGCACTCTCCTAAGATATCGTTCATTTCCCTTCAAACCAATGCTGAGGCCAAGATTTCGGGTGTGGCTGTCGAAGACCTGTCTTCCTCGCAAGGCACAGGTATCTCTGCTGGGTTGGATGTCATCTGTGTCTCGTTCGCTATATTCCTAATCTTATCATCTCAATAAGTTCGAGACTCGAGTTCAACAAATATTCCTGTAATGAATGAATGTGTGATTTCCTCCTTGTGTCAAAGCTGATGCTGATGCGACACAATATTGGGACTAGGCATCAGTCTGCCAATCACCAATCAGGCTTCCATAATCCTTGACGTTGAGCCTCACCGTAACCGCCCACAAATAGGGGTTTTTCTAGCATTACTTTCTCCTCTCTCAAATCTTGTTGCGACTGAAGGATATTCGAGATATGACCACATTTTTTTGGCCGCAGACTCGATCGCACCTAGGTCAACGTAATGCAAATCGCTTCAACTGGCTGCAAGGACCGCGGTTGCTCAGTTTTCTCGTTCCGCCAGATAACCACAGCTTCGTACTGCTACAGGGCCCCAATGAGTACAATAAATCACTCGGAATGCGACATTGGCTTTAGCTGTTATCTACATCACATCTAGTATCAGCCAAATATGTCAGTTTCTTCCGGCTCTCCCTCATCAAGCGGCTCTGAATACACCTACCGTCGCCCATCTCATCGGAGGGACTTTCAGATAGCTATTATTTGTGCCCTATCACTCGAATACGATGCCGCCACACTTATCGTTGATGAATTCTGGGACCAGAATGGTAAACAATATGGGCGAACATCTGGGGATACCAACATATATAGAAATGGGAGGATCGGCATGCACAACGTGGTGCTCATGCTTCTGCCAAATATGGGCAAAGCCGCAGTCGCCGGTTCAGCAGCAAGTCTGCGGACAAGCTATTCGAACTTGAGAATTGCGTTCCTCGTGGGAGTCTGTGGCGGGGTTCCCATCCTTGGTACACATGAGGCACTCCTTGGCGATGTGGCTATTGGTGAAGCCATAATTCAGTATGATGTTGGCAGACAATATCCCGGGGAGTTTATACCTAAGGAAACGGCCGTGGCCACCCAGAGTCTACCGAACAAAGACATCCGTACACTCCTCGCTTATTTTAAATCTGACACTGGGAAGGCCGATCTGCGACAGAACACCGCTAGGCATTTGAAAGCTTTGCAAGGTGCAGCTGTTCTGAAGAATTATCAGTACAGTTACCGTTATCCTGGTTTCTCCGAAGATAAGCTCTTCGTCGCGACGTACCGCCACAAACACCGAGGAGGACCATCGGGGGATCCATGTTGCGAAACTGAGAGCTATTGCGACAATGCTGCACAGTCATCCTGCTCTGAACTAGGATGCGACGAGAAGAAGCTGGTCCAGAGACACCGTTTGGAAAGAAAACGAGACTTGTCATGGGAGGAGGCGCAATGTCCAGATATTTTCATCGGGCGTGTTGCATCAGCGGATACTGTGATGAAGTCTGGCGATCATCGTGACCAAATTGCCAAACAATATAACATCATAGCTTTCGAAATGGAAGGGGCTGGCCTTTGGGACGAGTGCCCCTGTATCGTCGTCAAAGGCATTTGTGACTATTCAGATAGCCACAAGAACAAGATTTGGCAGCCATTTGCTGCAGCAACCGCGGCAGCTGCCGTCAAAGCTATGTTAGCACGGTACACCGTAGAAGATCATACTCAACTATCTACGTCCAATGCTAGTGAGATTGAAAATGTCGCCCACTCGAATGACTATGTTGACATGGCATTAGGTTCTACTCAACATGGCCAGATTGTTCTCGCACGGCGTGAGGTGACCCGTTATGGTGCGCGAAAACCGTCGTCCAAGCATATTCCTGGTAGCACAATTTCGACTGCAACTCAAACACTGCGGGATAGCATCTTCAATTTTCAAAGGGTCCTTACTGATGACCAACAACACGAATTACAAAGCATCAAGGTGGTGCCAGATGCCATTGCCGTGCTAGTATTTACTGCTGAGCTCGACTCGCTGAATAGGAATAGAAAGGGGTGTAGCATAGCCAGCAGGCTCCATTCAGTTCTTCAGTCTGTTCGAGACTTTTCCGCGGCTGTCGAACCAGCTGATTCAACGCACCTGGGAATCGCTTCTACCCTATGGGGGAGCGTGAAACTGACAATGCTAGTAAGCTTATCCCTTAAATTGAAATAGCCATTGCCATATTGATGCTTATGCCACTAGGTGACTGTCAAGTCCGTAACATATGATGAGGCTCTCTCAAAATTCTTCATGGATCTTGGGAGAATTTGCCCACGGTGGACAGATTATGAAATATTTTATTCATCTTCACTACGGCTTCAGGATGCCCTTCATGATTTCTATGCATCGCTCATTCGTTGTTGCACGCGCGCGGTAGAAGCAGTAGAAACCACCCCACGTTCATGTAAGTTAGGATGCCGCAATCTGCTGCAAACTCAATTAACAAAAAGAAGGGTCAGAATACCTCTTCACCTCTCCCCGAGAATCACTTGATAGGGGCTTTCAGCAGGATGCAGAGGACCTTGAAAGACGAAGTAGGTATGTCAAAGATGCGCTATCACTCGCCAAAACAGAAGCCCATTATCAAAACCAACAGCTTCGAAGCTTGGAAATGGAAGAGGGTTCAAACAAAGAAAAACGACCATGGGGTTTTCGCGTGAAAGGAGGCATGCATGATAAGATGGAATCATGGCAGACGCAAAATGACGAAAGACAAGCAAAGGAAAGAAAACAACGGCTGCTTGACTCTTTGTCGATTTGTGACTACTTGACTCCATTTAAACAAAGCTGTCGGAAGCGATATAGAGGTACATTGGAGTGGCTTTTTCATACAGATGAGTTTAACGCGTGGATCAGTAGCCGAGAATCTCCTTTGTTATGGTGCTTGGGAAAGAGTAAGTTCAAATATTCTCATTATAACGCTGTTTACAACCACGTTTGTTGACAATTTATAGTCGGTTCGGGCAAAACAACTCTTACGTGAGTGCACCGAAATAATAACTTGTTAAGCATGTTGTTTAATGAAAATCTATAGGGCGAGTGTCATAGAAAAACTGTTAACGAAAAAGCGCAATCCGGATGTTTTCATCAGCTTCTTCTTCGTACGATTTGATGATCGACAGTCCTTAAAGGCTGAGGTCATACTCAAGTCAATCATTCGACAGATGCTAAACGTATCCGACATTTTTGCAAAGGTCGAAACGCTATTGGATAATATGCAACTCAACTTGGCGTCAGGACTCAAGGACATTGAAAAGTTGTTGCAAAGTATAGCTGCAGAATTTAAAACCCTCTATATCGTGATAGATGGGCTAGATGAGTGTACACAATCGGAGCGCCACGATCTTCTTGAGTCTCTCCACTCAGTTATGAAAGTCAGGTCGAACATAAAGCTTTTCCTCGCTGGTCGCGATAGTGTCTCCAGAGAGGTTCAAATAAAATTTTCGACTCTGAAACAGATTCTTATGGACTGCTCGTCAGCTCAATCCGACATCGCAACGTACGTTGAAGGCATCGTGCAGGAAAAACTGAAAACCGAAGAGCTTATAGTTAGCGACCCCGACCTCATCGAAGATATTAAAGTGGCACTCTCAGGTGGGGCAAATGGCATGTGAGTTATTGGAACTTATAAGATATATTCATTTATTCATATGCTGATCCATATAGGTTTCTCTGGGTTGTATTCCAAGTAAATGAGCTTTGTTTACAGCATTGTGATGAGGACATTCGAACAGCTATTCGAAACTTCCCAAAGGACTTGGAGGAAACATTCAATCGGGCCATCGACCGAATCGTTTCTCGGAGGAACGAAGATATCGCAAAGCGTATTTTCCGATTGGTGATTGCTGCAAAAGAGCCTCTGTCCCTCAATCAGCTAGAAGAAGTCATCTTCGTTGAAATCGGACAGGAATACTCAAGGACAGAACGACGATCTAACGGCATTGCGCACATCAGCTCATGGTGTGAAAACCTCGTTCATGTCGACGAGGAATTGAAAACAGTTCAATTTGTGCATCAAACTGTCCAGTAATTTTTCATTGAGAGGTCGTCTAAATCTCGACATAACCAGTTCCATCTGAATCTCGAAGATGCCGATCACTATCTTGGCGAGATATGCGTTACGTATCTGAACTTCAATGATTTCAAGACAACTCTAGCCAGACGACAGCAACCATTGCCACCTATGCCACCTATAGCTATAGCAGGAACAGCTCTGGCACCAAGATGGAAGGCGTTCCCGTCTATTCCTACCCTCTTGAAGCTCAATTTGAACATCAGAGGAGGCTCAACAGCATCCAATGCTATTGAAGCTCTAGGCTCCTTCCAACGAGACGATACGGGAGATGAGAAAGAACGGATGCTTGTAGGGCATCCTTTCCTAGGATATGCATCAATTCACTGGATTTATCATACGACAATGTTTCAGAAAGGAAAATCGAACACATGGGATTTATGGGGAAAAATGATTGTTGAGGGACATGATCTCGTGAAAAATCCATGGACTGAACAGTCTTTCTATGAAAGCATCGGACCGATACTAGATTGGGCCCAAAAGTTTCACCATTATGCACTTATACGACTCTTTCTCCTCGCCAGCATGCTTTCAAGCTCGTACCGAGGGCACCTCATGCAGAGTGCAGCGATTCATGAAGACATTACGCTGCTTGATATCCTTATCGAGCACGAAAAGTCAGATATTATAATAGACCAAGGTTGCGAGCTAGCGGTTCAGCTCGGCCACCTTGATGTTCTGGACAGACTATTAGCCGCTGGAGCAGATGGCCAGAATGCTCTCCAGGCCGCTATTCACAGTGGCGATCGAAAAGTCATCAAGCGCATATTGATTACTGGGGTTGATGGTCGGCCGCTACTGCAGATTGCTCTTAGAGACAACGACCAAACTACCGCCAGGGCTCTGTTAGACGCTGGTGTAGATGGCCAACCTCTTTTACAGGCCGCTATTGAAGAGCGTGACCAACGTACCATGAAACTTTTGTTAGCTGCCGGTGTGGATGGCCAACCCGCACTACAGACTGCTGCTAAAAGAGGCCATCAGAATACCATCAAATCTTTATTAATCGCTGGTGCAGATGGCCAGACTGCACTACTGAACGCTGCCAACAACGACTATCCAGACACAATCAAGGCCCTCTTAGCCGCCGGAGTAGATGGCCAGGTTGCTCTACAAGCTGCCGCGCGTAGTGGTCAACAAAGTGTTGTCACACACCTATTAGCTGCTGGTATAGATGGTCAAGTTGCAGTATATGCTATTGCTAGAAGTGGAGACGTCTCTGCCGTTACGTCTTTGTTAGATGCCGGTGTAGATGGGCAATCTTTACTGCAGGTTGTCATTGAAAGCCACGATCAAGATCTCGTAAAGTTTCTGCTGGATGCTGGTGTAGATGGTCAGCCTCTACTGAAGGCTGCTATTGAAAAGAACGACCTAACTACCTTCAGGACCCTGTTAGATGCTGGCTTAGATGTTCGGCCTTTACTGCAGGCTGCTATCAAAAGTCGCGATGAGAGTATCACCTGGGTCCTGTTACATCCCGATGTCGATGGTCAACCTCTATTGCAGGCTGCTATCAAAAGCCACGATCAAGATCTCATCAAGTTTCTGTTACATGCCGGTGTAGATGGTCAGCCTCTATTGCAGGCTGCTATTGAAAACCGCGACCAACATATATTAAGGCTTCTGTTAGCTGCTGATATTGATCAACGGCCAGCACTACTTGCAGCTTCTGAAAGTGGCAATCAAGATCTCATGAAGCTGCTGTTAGCTGCTGGTTTAGATCGGAAACTGGCACTACAGACTGCGTCTCACCGGGGTCATATTAATATTGTTGAGAGTCTCTTGGCTTATGACTCTGAAGCAATTATGAGCTCTGCATGGGATGTCGAATCCGCTTTATACTCCGCTTCTCAATGGGGTCATCTTGATATTGTTGACAGACTCCTGGATGCCGGAGCCTCTGTACATCCTCAATATGAACGGTATGGTCGATCAGCCTTAGAGGGAGCTTCTGAAGGAGGCCACCTTAATGTCGTTGAGAGGCTTTTAGCTGCCGGGGCTAAAGTAAATACACACAGTGTATCTACAATTGCAACTGCCTTACAATCCGCTTGTAAAGGTGGTCATCTTGATGTTGTTAAGAGGCTGCTGGCTGCTGGAGCTGATGTATATGAGAACGGCAAATGGGGTGATGCTTTACGAGCTGCTTCTCAAGGCGGTCATCTCAGTGTTGTTGAGATGCTTCTTGCCGCTGGATTCGAGATAAACACGCCCAATAATAGATGGAGGGGCCAGATGGCCTTGCAAGCAGCCTCTCGAGGGGGTCATCTCAAAGTTGTCGAAAGACTCTTAGCTGCTGGGGCCGATGTGAATGCGGCTGCTGGATCAAAAGACGAAACTGCTTTGCAACTTGCTGCTAAAGGTGGACATGTGAGAATTGTTTCCCGATTGAAGGAAGCTGGCGCGAAAAGGTAAAATAACAATCTCTATGTACATAGAGCGCTCAGAGGTCTGTAAAGGAATTTCATAACGTACAATGTTGAAGAGGATTGGCAAATTCATCTAGGAATTGAACGATATGCAGTATAACTCAGGTATATACTTGGCATCAATATGTTAAAAATGAAGAGTATTGACGTTGGCAGCCAAATGCGATACTTATTGCAAGCTACCCTATTAGTCGAAGGTCGTTATAGTATGTGAATGATGTGATTAGCTGCTAGTATTATCACATACATCTATCCTCTTGAACGGTTATTGGGAAATTGCAGCCTTCCCATGTATGACGCAGCCTTTGGTCCATTTTCTCGTCTCACCTTGTTACCTGGTTGGCGATATTATGAGAATACTTGTTATCCCACTTCGTTTCCCGGAACCCGTATCTATTATTATCGACCCATATACCTAATTATAACTCGTTAAATACTCCTGATAATACAGAAAATTTTCCTCCTTGCGGAATTGAACCATATACACACATGTTTTGTTTTTTTTGTCCGTCAATTTTATTTTCACCTCTAAGTCATCATGGTATTTGATTGCTCTCCAGCAAACGGCTTTCTCCCCCACACCACGAACACGGGCATGTAAGCATGCACCCGCGGGTCCGCCAGTTCCTCTCGGATCTTGACCAGAGAGAGCTAAAATGAGAGTAAAACGAAGTCAGCGAATGGCCTGACGTCAAGTTCACCACTGCAGGGTTCACCTGCAAGTACATGCATGGCGCGGCGGCGTTGGTAAGACGAGAAAGAAAACATTGGAGCCCTGTACTGACCTCAATCTCAGCCGGGGTCCGGCCAAACACTTTGTTCATGAGCTGGATGGAGAAGCCATTGAGGCCCTGCGAAAAGTTCTCTCCCCACATGCGTCCAATCTCCTTGAGGCGCTCGTCCTTGGGCCACGGGTTCATGGGCATCTTGAAGATGGCCTGTTGCACGTCAATGAAGCCGACGCTCTCGAATACCTCTTTGAGGGTGGAGCCCAGGATGGCAGGGCGCTGGAAGTCCTCGGCGGCGACTCTCATCTCGTGGAGCCAAGTGCACATTGGCCCGGCTGGGTCCAGCGTGCCGTCGTCACATGCGAAGACGGCCTCGACCTCCTGGGACTCGAGCCAACCGCCGGGCTCGAGGGCTTGGAAGGCCTGCTCGGCGACTTCTTTCTGGAAATTGCCCCAGCTGCCCGCAGTGAGCCGGGTATGTATGTAGCCAAACTTGTCCGTGTAGTCCCATGTCTCTCTTCTGCAAGGCGCGCGGGACGAGTTAGTGTGGGTTTTGCTGACTAGAGCTCTTTGTCTCTCTCACTCGCGAATTCTGTCTGGTCATCACCTACGCGTCTTCGACATAAAAGTTGACATTCGGAGGCACCATGTCGGGCTGGATCGGCGAGAGGTCTGTGCCGACAACCTCGGACGAGGGGAATAGGTCGCCCATCTCGATGGCCCAATCGCCAACCCCCGTGGCGACATCGAGGATGAACTGCGGAGGCTTCGCCGGCGAGAGCGGGGCAAAGTACAGCCTGCCCTCGAAGAGGTTCCTGATAATGGGGCCCTGGAACGCAAGTCGTTCCTGTTCAGGAATATCGTTGGGGTAGGCATATGCTGCGGGCACTGCGGTCAGCTTTGGCTTGATGCAGACAAAAGATAACGGGACATGTAAACGAGGGCGAGGGGACGAGGGGGAGGGGTTGTAGCATAGCCTACATCCTGCTCGGTATGCGTGATAGGTGCGGCCAAACTCGTGTGGATAGTCTCTCACGCTCTCGGACAGCGACATGGAGCCGTCGTCTCTAATGCAAGCACGGGTTAGAGGTCTGCGGGCACGGCGAAGATGTCACAATCCGCGTACACTAGTCCCGACGGTGACTGCACGATGTCGCGTAAGTATCGCATCCAACAACATGATATGTGTGAAGATGGAGCAGGGCCGCAGCCAATAGCTAGCAGCCACGGATCCAGCAGAGATGCGGCAACCTACATCGGGCTCAATAAAATTGGAGACGTCAAAGGTGAACTGGAAGTTCTTGAGGTCGAGCAGAGAGTTTCGATTGGGGTTATCACCCGCATGGTTTCCGGAGGTTCCCATTGCGTCGTTACTGTACAATCTGTGAGTTTGGTTTCACGGCAGTGGTTTGATGGAGATGGTGATGGGACTGGCAACTGAAACGAAACCGGAACCACCACAAGGGGCACCATTTTAAACAAGCTGAGAATCCGCTAGCCAGGGGGGCTTTTTCTCAGCTGCAAAGAGGCCAGTCGACAGTGGGGCAGCGACGGGCAAATCCGTACAGTCCGACAGGCCGCAAGCACGAGACGAAGGGCAGAGCGAGAAATGAATCCGGGGTTTATACAGTGGCTTTCAGCCCGAGAGAAGGGCTATCCGTTTCTGGTTACCAGCACTAAAGTAGAACAAAATTTCACACCGCCAGACACTGCGGGACAGGGTTTGGAGAAGCCCTTTGGCCTGGTAACCAATGGGAGGCAATCGTAGGATTTGAGGCGGCACATGTCTTACTTGCGAGCTCAAAATATCACTGGCTGCCAAGCTCTTGGAATCAGCACGGGTTGCGAATCCGGGATACTGGGAATGATTAGCTAATGGCCAGTGACAGACTCTCCCCGCAATAAAATTAGAAGCCGCTTTTCACAAGCAGGCAAAAGTTAGTTGGGTCCATGGATGTTTGAGAATTTGGCAGCTAACATAGTAGCTACTCGTATAAGCTGCCCGCGGATCTTCTCTCGAGTTGCGCGAAATTGCGCTCTATTTTGTCACGGCGGGCGCGGCGGCCCCTAGCAAAGATCCAAGTCAGGGGAATCATCATCATATCATAGTATCATAGCTACTCATTCAACCGGCAACAGTCTGGCGTAGACCTTGATGCCTCCTCGCCTGGTCACGCCCATGGTCATGTCCCGGACAATGCGCAAGTCTTCCTGCACCGTATCGTGCAACTCCAGGTTGAACCGACGGGCGAAATGGGCAATTGTGAGGAACAATTCGAGGTAGGCAAGACTAGGTAGACAGATGGAGTCAGTTAGTCAGCGCGGAATATGCAACCAGGGTTTGTGAATTTAGTGTAAGGTATTGCATACTTGATGCCAATGCAACCTCTGGTCCCTCGGTTAAATGTAACCAGATATCTCTTGAGGTTGTCTCCTCTTTCCGCTGCCTCGATCCATCTCTCGGGGCGGAACGTGGCCGGTTCTGGAAAGACGGACGCGTTGCCGTGGATAAAGTATGTGGAACTGCTGACGGGGGTCTTTTTTCGGATTGTAGGTTAGACGGTGAAGCCAAGAAACGAGGGAAAAAAGAGGGGAATTGTGCTGGGGACTCGTCACTCACTCCCGGGGGAATTGTGTATTCCTTGTACTGTAGAGCTTCTGTTGGCGCTACCCGTGGAAGGCGTGCAGTTATTCCATAAGCTAACCGCAAGCATTCGTTGATAAAGGCACTCTGGCGGTAAGTAGTGAGCCCCATGTCATATCATCCATTTGAAGCCGTTGGAGACATGTTGTGTAACGTACCAAATAGGGCAACTGTTCAAGCTCAGCCCATGTCGGCCTGCTATCCAGCGTAGGCATCGCCTGCTTGAGCTCTGCCTGGATCGTCTCGCGCACTCTGGGATCGTTTGCCAGGTAAAAGGAAGCGGCAGTGAGCACTCGCGCGGTGGTTTCTGTGCCAGCAGCAAGGAGGCCAAATGTCTCGTCTCTCAGCCGATAGTAGTCTCTCTCTTTTTCCGGAATACTTGGGTCCGCCAAAGTGGCTACCATTGTCTTTCTCTTTCCCACGTACGCCTCATTCTTTCCATACTCCAAGAAGGCTTCGAGAAATTCGAAAAGCTTCGCCTTACCTGGCATGACCTTTGCCATCATTTGTGGGGAGAGGGCACTCATTGCGTACACTAGCCAGGGAACAAAGCGGGAGATGTGTGTGAACTCTATGGCATTCTCGGCAGCATTGCGGACGTCACTGCGGAAGTTTTCATCTTCAATGAAGTCCCAATCTTTACCGCAGCAGTATGCTGTGACGATGTCGGATGTCAGCGCTGAGAAGGCATCATCAAGAGATATGATGGTCTGGTTAATTCGGGCCACCTCCAGACGAGTCATGAGCTTCTGCACCCGCTCATTCACAGAGTCGGACAGTTCCGCGACAGATCGTCGAGAAAAGAAGTCTTTGAGAATGCCCCGTCGGAAGCGATGCTGCTCGTGGCTCACGGCCGCCACCATGGAGCCGGGCAAGGCATATGTAGGGACGTATTTTGGGTCCTTGTCTCGCCTGCGACTGCTCGAGGCATAGATTTCGTCGTAAAAGTCCGGGTCACTAACATGAACTTCCCTTGGGTTGATGCGCACTATGGGACCTGTTTCATCCCAAGACTTGTCAGTGTGCTTGGTCGCTCAAGGGAATTGCCCACGGCATCTGACCATATTGTTTGTGCATCTCCTCAATCTTGAACAGAAACTGGCCCGGACGAATGACATTGTAATAGAATTCGTATAGGTGCGAGCATGCTGTCAGCTTAGGGCCAGGGATATGAGCCAACGGATGGAAATAGAGGCGATATACGGTCCTAAGACTGAGATACACGCCGAGGCCCGCGAGGGCGACCCAGAGGCGAAGCAGGTCCTCCATGATGATGATGCTGTTGGTAATGCCAGGTTAGAGCAAAACATCAACCGGGACTACGCCATTGATAATGGCAAATCAGGCTGGCTGATGAGGCAAATAAATACAAGTCAATTACAGACATGTGGCTAGAGGCCAATAATATGCACCTAAAGCAGTAGCTTAGAACACGAGAGGAAGAGACCCTCCGCAATGACGCTCGTAATTATGACAGAAAGCACAAAAGCAGCACTAAGCTGCGGTGACAGCGGCCTGCAAGGAAACCGGGATAAACAGACAGATATTGCGTACGCAGAAGCCAATCATGGTGTTCCGCGTGGAAGTGATATCCAGTCCGCCCGACATTAGACCCCCACGAACAGCAACCAACAGCATATATCACGTAAAACCGACATTAAATCAGGATTGAAGCAAAAGCATACATGGGACGATGGTCTGGACTGGCCAATGGAACATCGGAGAAGAGCCAACTCGCTTCTGCAACCCCGGCGTCGGTGAGCTGATAACCGTGGGTCCTTCACGGAAGCACCATCCCAATTATAACTGGGAACCGTCCCGCTTGCCAAGATAGCGGTGATCAAAAAGAAGAGGTATATAAGTGGCAGTATTTACTTCCAATCAGACGGTAGAAGAGAGATCAAGCACAAGCAGGCACACATTTCTTTCACATTGGTGAGGGCGTACCTGAAAATAAATTAAGCAAGATGCCTAAGCTGGAAGATGGTGGCCACCCTTCTTGGCCTGCTGCAGAAGGCGACTCATATGGGGCTGCTGTTGGGCAGGGTGACATTGACATCACCAATATCACCTTATGCCAGGTCTGTAGGATGAGCGTCTGCTGGAACGACATGAAGATGTGCGTCGGGTGTGCCGCTGGAGTGCAGAGACCCCTCCCCATCAAGTTTCTGAAGCAGCTGCGAGAGGAGCTCGCAAAGAGCGACACAACGGTCGTTCTGCGGTGGCTTGACGGGAGGGGAAGGGTTGTGCACCACGGAAAGGTGGAGCGCGCACCATCTTGCGGTGACAAATCACACATGGCGGATATGTGTGAGATGCTCTCTTTGTATGTGCTGAAGAATGGTTGGGCCGATTGGGCGTTGGATCTCGCAATCAAAGAGCTGCGCGGGAAGCCGGTGGAGAAGGGACTAGTAAGCGGGTATAAGCGCAGCCGGCCGATCGAGGACGACCGTGGTCCCATAGCTCATTGGTGCTCTTGCGGCAATCAGAAGCTAGAGACGTCTGGACAGTCACAATCCCTGTCCATCGAGGTCGCCATTGGGGCGTTGACGAAACGACCCAAGTCAGCCAAACAGCACAAGCCCAGCACACTGACTCGACAAGCTGGCATCAAGAAACAGTCCAAGCCAGTAAAGAAACAACCCATCGTATCGACTAGACAGCTCAGATCATCGACAAAGCTGCTTGAAGCATCCGCAGCCCAAGCCCAAGCCCAAGCCCAAGCCGTCGCAGCAGCAGATGCCCCTTCCAAGGAAAAGGCGGTCCGCTCGCGCGCTCCCACCGGAGCGGAGATCGAATTGGCATACGAACGTACTTTGTGGACGGGCGCGACGCCTCAGATCTTCGCCGACGCAATGTGGCTGGCCGGACCTGGTCTTCGCCATATCGAAAAGGAGAGCGGCCAAGCCAGTAAAGAGGTGCCAAAGGGTGCGCGTGGCTCCGTCGAAACCATGATGCTGCATTACTTCTTCATGAACAACCACATCTACACGCTGATCGAAGGGCTGGAGTTGGCGGCACTCGGAGCCTATCTCACCGCATTGGACCATGGAAACGTTCGAGACAGTGATTTTACGCCATTTGCTGCCGACATTGCACGCCATGGAAGCCTGGGTCGTTGGGCAGTTGCCATCACGGAGCTCGTGATCCGATGGCCAACGATCCTGGACTGGCACGCCGGGTGTGTGTCGAGTTTGGGGTTGGTCCGGGGCCTGACGCTTCGTGCTTGGGCCTTTGCGGCGCATTGGGACGTCCTGATGCACTACGAACTGGCCAGCGGCCCCAATTGGGAGGAAAAGCTGCCATCTTGGCTGTACGTTGCAGCTGCGCTTGGGCACGACGCAGGCGATCTGTGCGGCGATACGCGGATGGGATGCGCAGACAACGCCTACTTTGCCGTGGGGGCCACGTCTGGATATGAGGGTGTGGCCGCCTGCATGGACATTGTGTGCGACGCCCTCGAGGCGGTTGTGCTCCGAGACACGCGCGGCGCCATTGACGTCGGTGCCGTTGCCGGCGCCGCTTGTGCAACGTTTGAGCGGACCGGCGGTGATCTGTGTGCGTGCTCCAATGAGGCTTCGTCGAACTCGTGCGAGGCCCATGCCGTGCTGGCCTCCATCTGCGGAGACCGACGAATCACTGCCGACGACGCCGCGGCTCTCATCAGCATCCGGGACGGCATCAGATCGCGCTGCCAAGAGCTGCCCCGGTACCGCGGCCGAGACATGGCGCACCTCAACCACGCGGATCGTGAGAAGGTGTACGGACAGTGTTTTGCGGCCATGGCAACGGGCGGCAGCGGTGCGAAGCAGGCTCACGCACGCCTGCAAGTTGCTTATTCAAGCGCTGCGCAGTCATTGTGCGGCCAGTTGCGACGAACAGCAGCGAATCTCCGACAGCTGATTGGCGCCGATGCGTTGAATCTGAGCAATGATTGTATGTGTGGGGGAGAGTGCAGCATGTGGTGAAGTTGAAGATTCATGTCGTTTTGGGGAAGTTCAAGGTTGTCAGATGCAAGTTGTTTATCTCAGGGCCTGCAGGCGGGAGCTTGCACGTTTACAGCTAGGGCAGGCGGCTGATCGACGCCACCAAGGCGTACTTAGGATAGTGTCACGATTAACGATTTCCTTGAGGTGTATAAATGAGTCTGTACATAGCATACACGCAGTATTGGTTTCAATTCTTGTCAACAAACTCGTTCCTGGTAGCCCTTGCTGTGAGAATTCCGGCAGTTATCTTGATAGTAATTGTTTTTGGTGCCAACGTCTTGTCTGCACAAAAGATGCGGGCGGATCAGGGGGTACAGCCAATGGTTAAATCTCCAACATGACACTCCGAATGCTACTACTGGCTGCATTCTCGGTTCCGAAGACTGCACCTCTGAAGCTTGCTGACACCAGCTCTAAATGCGTATCCAACATGAATAACTTCTATTTTTTTTCTAGATTATATATGTCTATGAGCAGTTCTGTAAATAAATTGCACTTGCCAGAAATATCCCAATCTCTCACGGCTGAGAAGCCGTCCCTCTATGCAGAATATCAAATCATGGTCAGTTGATCATCCAAATAGCTCAGGTCGACGGCAGAAGGTTCAATTCCAGCATTAGCAGCATTTTTGTCGATGAAGGCTGCTAACCACTTTGGGTTTTCGTCCGCTATTAAATTGTCAATGACATATCCTCCACACGAGAACTCATTCAGTCAAAACTCACCTAACCAATGTCCAGCTTTTGGCACATACACCGTCTTGACAGAAACTGCCGTCGGTCCCCAGAGGCTCTGGTTAATTTCATCAGAAACCCCGCTGGCTTCTCCCCAAAGCACATTCACGGGAACCTGAATGGGGGTTTCTCTGAGCGGTTTGAAATACTCCATCTCGCGCCAGATATTCCCGTTGAGGAACTCGGTCATGGCGCGCAAGTATCCTGGCTTTCCTAAAGATGCAGCGTAACGCTCGACGTGATCAGGGGATATGAGAGCGCCAGCCGCATAGGCGCTATGCCAGAAATACCAATTGAGAAATTCTTTCTCACGTCCGCGGATAAGGAATTCGGCTGCCTCAGGGACAGTAAAGAGAGCCAGGTGCCAGTGCCCGTATAGGTTTCTCGAAGGATCTGGGTTTTGGAAAACTTCGTGTCCATACGCTGGGAGGGCGTATTCTCCCACGCTCAAAGACGCCACGCGATCCGCGTACTTCCATGCGAGCACAGATCCCACAGAAGCACCTTTGTCGTAACCGAATACGGCCACTTTCTCGATACGCAAGAAATCCAACAGTGCGATAATAGCTTCTGCGGCCGATGCGGAAGTATAGTTGCCCGATTCACTCAGGGTTGACTGACCCATACCTGGCAGGTCGGGGGCGATGACTGTATATTTGGACGAAAGCAACGGGCCTACTTTGTGCCACATGAGCTACACCATATTAGTTTAGTCGATTGTTTAAATTGATAGGAAGCAAGTGTGAATGGAAAAAAAAGTATGTTGGACGTACGGAATGTTGTGGACATCCGTGTAATAGCAGAACGGCCGGTCCTGTGCCATCATAGCGGGCGAAAAAGCTTGTGTCCGCCGTCTTGACTCGAATTGAACGCCATTCGTCAAACGGCAGAGATACGTTTTGCGCAGACATTGTGAGAATTGGAAACTGTTTATCTTGCATAGAATAGATGTTACCTATGGAATAAAGATGTATCCCCTAAAGAAGGGGTTTCGCATCTTATATACATGTTTTTTTTGCGATGATTCAATTGACAATATTTGCTATACATATGGCAGTAGACCGGAATACTGGGCGCCACAGCTGAATTCAGTGGTGGCGTGGAACTTTGGCTAGCCTGGGATGGAATGATGTTGCGCGGTTCGGATCCGAGATTCAAGTCTGTTTTTTTTTCCCGCTCCATTATTCGCAGAATGCTGCTTAGCAATCCAATTACCCCTACACAGCTTCCACCATGGTCGCAGGCAGACTCGGAACCGAGTCTGCACGCAGGCGACAGTTCTCCAGCTGCGACTACTGTCGTAAATCGCGTATTGCATGCGATGCGTCTCAATTACAAAGGAACCAGGAAACGACTTCCGGTAGTCCCGACGCGGGTTCGTCGTCATCGCGCGTTCAATGTACGAACTGCTCAAAGCGCTCTCTGACGTGCACCTACGAGGTAAGTCTAATCCTTTGGTTGCTAATCACCGAGTTGCCATTCTGATGATGATGATTCATCTTAGTGGATTCGGGATCGTGGAAACAGGGATGTGGCTGCTGTAGGAGATGTCAACAGGCCAAGAACTCGTTCGGCAACTGGTCGTTCCAGAAGAGCGCTCACTAGGACACATGTAACCAATAGCCCAGAGCCTTCTGAAGAGATACAACATGACGAAGCAGAGCCAGCTGCAACTGCAGAGACTAATGACCATACCCAGTACGTCCAGATTCTTAACTCTCTACTGCTGATTATTCAGTTTCTTATCCTCGGCTTGATAGGATCATACCCAGTTCTGAATTATTCCAGCAAACTGAGGCCAGGGTACTACATGACCACCTATGGACAGTTTTCAGTCTGATATTCGAGCCTGTTCTTACTCTCTGGACCGGCCCGGACTGCAGTCCCTATGTGGTGCCTGATCATGTGAATTACCTTCTCTATTCCATGATTAACACACATTCCACACACTTCGTACTAATTGTGGAAATAGATGTCTAATCTCACAATGCTTCAGCTAGCTGTTTCACTTGATTGGGCCAATTGCACCTGTAGAACTGACAACCATGTCCCACACCGTCATGGCTGGCACTGCCCGAGAGGCGATCGCGCCGTCCAACTAGCATTAATCTCCGCAGTGCATTCGTTCTCTTTCCGCTGGCTACCGTTAGTCACGGATACTGCAGGGGATGGCCAGCAGCTTCTGCGACTTGGCGAACACCTCTGGACCAATGCCAAGTCCAGAATCATGTCCGTTTTTGACAAGCTCAGCTATCAAACAGCTTTGGCTTTGTATCTGTTCGGACTAACTCCAATTCCTAAAGGAGCTTCCGTGGATGTCGAGAATGCTCACAGCGCTGGCGAGGTTAGCATTGATATGGCGCTTCGCCAAATCCACAGACTAAGAGTAAAACGACGCGATATCAGATTTTCCGGTACTGGCCTTTCGGTTGGTAGAAGCGACGGAGAAACTCCTATTATCCACACCCCTGTGAATGAAGATTTTATCCATGCCGAGAATATGATGTACTGGGCTGGGGTGGTGTTTGATACCTCTTCATCTATGACTAGAGGGTGTCCTTCTATCCTCTGCAGTGGCGTGTTTGGCTTTGAAGAAGAGCCAGTCTTCCGCCTTATGAAAGCTCGAGTTCAACTATTCCATGAAAGTACAGAGTCATGGAGACAGAATGGGTTTGTCCCGACAAGTCAGGCTACGCTATATGTTGTTCACCGGGCATCCACCTGGAAAGGATACGTCTGGAAAATAATCGGAGCTCTGCGAGAAGCTATCAATCATGGCTATGGAGAAGCTGTCATAACAAGGCTGGAAACCCTCATTGCTGAGGCTCTGGATCGCTTCAATAGAACCTTCAAACCCCTTCTTGCAGCCTGTGAGAAGCACATTCTCTTTTTCAGCAAGGATGCTCGATTGTGTTATTGTAAGTATAGCAACCTACAATGTCTATCATTGCGTGTAAGAGCTTCCAAGCTAACATGCAGTAGACCTTCTTCAATTGCACTACTATATGGGCCTATTACTTCTGTGTAGCCTAGCTGTATCTACGGAACGGACAGATATCGTTCCAGAGTTTGATGCCGTTCGTCGCGAGTCTGTTCACACCATTTTCAGCACGATCAGCTTTGGTCTCAGCTGTCAGGTGGCTCTTGGCCAAGACGGGACCCAACACAGCCGGAAGCGCTTCTCACTGATCAGCTTGGATCCTTATCCACACCACATTCTCGCATCATTACAGCTAGCTAGTCATGTTTTGCTTGACTATCTGAAGCGAGACGAGATAACACAAGACGCGTTCGATAACTTTTGTCGAATCGTGTTTGATGCGCTTGATGAAATTCCCCAGTGCTTGCAGTCAGTACAGAGAGTAAAGAAGCTCTTGTATGAGACACTGAGTGCCGGTAGCCATCATTTTGATACAGCATCGGATACACTACGTGAGCCGGCTACGAGCGGTTTGAGCACCCCGGGAGGACAACAACATCAGCAAGTAACCCGTAATGATCGTCGAACAAATAACGAAACCACGAATTCCGAGGAGTCAAGTAATGATATCACCGGTTCAAATCCACCGGCTCCTACTTTTACCAATATTGACGAAGCAGGACTCGGTTGCCTAGCAAAGACACTCTTCGCTGGACCTTCAGTAGTGCTTAGTACAAGATCTTAGATGTGAGAACTGCAGAGCGAAATAGAAAAGAGTTTGTTCAATTAACCTGCGGGTACATTTTGGGGTTTCGGAGGTTTGGTATCAATGTTTGCCATGCAGATAAGGTAGTGAGTCAGATCAACCGTAACAGTCCTCTACCTGTAGCATAGCCCTTGAAACACCAAAATTATGATGAGCTCGGGGTCGGCCCCCCAATTACAATTGGGTCCAAGGCACGGTCTTGTCGGCCATGAGGCTCGTGCTAGCTCTAGTTCTTTCTTTCTCGAATGCTACTGGATATATCTATCAACTCGTGTAAGAGTTAGTTCGATTCTGAGAGTGGGGATGATCTTTCTTCACAGGACTTTTGTTATGACTAGTGCCAAGGTCGCTGAAATTCTGGCTGGCGTGTTTTTGATTCACCTGTGGCATGAATCGCTAAAAGACGCATTTCCTGTTTTTTTCAAGAAGACTTGTAATAGATGTGATATCGTCTAATACGAATCTGAGATGCTACCTAAGCCGGACTTCCGGTACTGATAGCAATGTCATATTTACCACATAAAGAACTTTTCACTCCGCAGTAAGTGGGAGTTCCGCAGTCAGGTAGGAGTTCCGCAGTAAGATAGGAGTTCCGTAGTAAATATTATTATGGTATTAGGAATCTAGCACCGGGAACTGGTGATACAATACTTCCGATCAGTTGCGTCCCAATTAAGTATTTCATTCGATAGAAGGCTGTTAGCGCTATGCATGTGCTATTTTAGTAAAATGACCCGAGATGAAAAGCAACAAAATTTCATGGAAGTCTGCAAGAATTGTTTGAATGAGAGCAAGTGCCTCATCAAACATGCTTACACTATTGGCTCGAAATTTCTTCCTTTTTAAGTTAACGGTGCTGTTGACTACGATTATGGAATGAAACTAACTACATATCTGACTCGTAACACGATAACATAGTCTCCAACTACTCTTTAACGCTTACGCGTACTTTTGTTTCTCATGAATCCTATCCCTATGCGCTAAGAAGCTACATGGAATTTAAGAATGGCCATCAAATAGCATCACGTCACTGGCGTAAGAACCAGCAAATGATTGAGGTTTTGTCAAGAGTATTGCTGCAGGGGCTGTACGTTTTTTGCCAAGGGGGCTGTATTTAACCCAATTAGGAAAGTGGATCTATTAGTTCCAAAACCAAACCAACTTTCAATAGGCTTTTAAAAATAAAAGAAAATTATATAGAATATAAATAATGAATAAATTAAATATTTACATAATTAAATTTAATATTTAAATTTTAATTTTAATTTTTTATTAATAAATAACTTAGAAAATATAGTTTTTATTTAAAACTAGTTTCTTTTAGTTAATTATAAAAAATAATAATAAAAATTTAAATATTATATATTATTTATATAATAAATTATTTATTTTTCTTAAAAGTTACCTTAAATTTTTATTTTTTATATTAAAAAAAATTACTATAAAAATACTACTATTTCTTCTTAATTTTTCTATTGAATATAATTTATAAAAAATATTTATAAAAGTATTTTGATAAGCTTTAAGTATTTATATATATTAATATATTTTTTAAATAATTTTATTATTTATTTTATATAGTGATTTTAAACTATTAAAACATAGAGACTTCAAAATTTTCAAAGGTACGTCCAATACAGCCCCCCTAGCAAAAAGGTACAGCCCCCGCAGCAATACTCTTTGTCAATGAGCTACCCCGCAGCGTGTGCCGCTCCGCCCGTCTGAAGGATCATCACGGCCTCATCTAGATAAGGGACTAAATCCCTCTTAAGTAATGGCTATTTTATCGGCGATGTAATTTATTTCTCTAAAAGTTCTCTGTCATCCAGGAACGCAAGAGATTTTAAACTACATCTCATCTCATATTGGCTTTACGCTGCAACTCAGACACTACCCAATCATGTCTGGTCAATATAGCCACAACGGGTATGAATGCCATTTTCTCAACGGGATGCAAAACTTGATATTATGAATTGAGTTCTCATATTTTGTCTAGTTATCTACAACCAGGTAATGGAGCTGGAGGTGTATATGGCCAATATGACGACAACAGACGTGGGTCGTCATCACAGTTGAGCTCCCACTCGCAGAGTAGCACCGGAGGTCGACAGCGCAAAGGACTTGTGAGTGGTCTCGTGAGGGGTGTTGCTGCCGGCATTGGGCTCGCCTCTGAAAGTTACCACAATCATCAAGAGAAGAAAAAGGCAAAAGCATCAGCGGCTGCTGCCACCGGGGAAAGTTCAACAGCAGGGGAAAGCTCTAGGGCAATTCACAACGAAGCGCATCCAGAAGATTCGTCAAGGGGATTCCCAGATGAGAAGCGTCACAGTTCTCATGAACACGATGACGATGACTCTTCTGATAGTGAAGAGAATTCCGGCCCAATTAATGTTGATCAAAAGACGGCACGAGATTTAGAAGAGGCACAATGGGAACTTGATGCTGCGCAGCAACAACTGGAACCACCACCTGATTATGCTACTATCATGGAGCAAGACCTTGATGTCCAAGCCATGGCAGATGGTTTCGTTCGAAGTCATGCGTTACCGTCAAACCAAAAGATTCAGCAACACGGATTGCCTATGCCGGTTATCCTCCCACAACGGCGACCAGGAGAGCGGGCCCGCGGCTTTATCCACGCGTACGCACCGCTGCTCCAAAACGTGGGTATCGACCAGGCGACTTTTATCGACTTTATCAAGCAGCTGAATATGGCGACGGCGCCATCTCCGTGGATCAACGCTATCAATGTGGCAGCTATTGCTGTGCAGCACGTTCCTGAGCCCATCACCATTGCCGTTTCTATTGCCGCTCAGGTCACCACTCAAGTTAGCCTTCAAGCGCACAGCCGGTCTAAAACTAATACATTTTTAAACAAAATGAATGCTGAATTCTTTCGACCACGTGGGCTCATAGCTATTGTCATGACCTGGAAGCCAAGCCGGCCTGGTGAGGTCGTCACGCAAGTCACTTTTGATGCAGCACTGGAGCAAGCTACGCAAAACGCTTCAGGTCCTCGACCTGGAATGGGCGGCGGCATTAGCAACAAGATGCAGGCTTCACACGGGACAACAAATTTTGAGTGGCCTGAGTCGGCACCTCTGGTGTTTCCAACTCTGGACAAGCTTGCCGACTCTGCTGAAGGTAGGCAGGCAGTTGAAGAGGTTGGGAAGAAACAGCCAAATGGTATGATGCGTAGCATGATATTCGCAATGGAGTATATGGATAAGAGGTCCCAGGCTCAGTACGCCAATATGCATCCGGAGAGTCGTCTCGCTCAATTGAACGTCAAGCCAGAGTTCCATTCACGTTACGCAGATCCGAACCATCCAGCTAGCAGTGGCAGTCTCTTAGCTTTACTAACAGGTGGTGCTATCGGAGGCGGAGTCAGCGACCGAAAGCAGGCCAGACGCGATCGAAAGGCCGCGAGACGTGACCGTAGGTCACAGAGAAGAGAGCAGCGCGGGCCGACAATCCTGAATACCGTTGGACCAGGAGCTCTGATCCGGGGCCTCAGGAAAATTATGCATGAGGTTCGTTCAACTTCCTATCTACCTCTATTACCATTTATATTATGACAGGCTTCAACGTTAATTATCCTTTAATAATATAAATTTTACTAACGGATTGGTGAAGGATGTCTTATACCTCATGATTGCGAACTTACCGTCAGCTGAGGAAATGGCAGCAGCACAGCAGTTCTTACAAGTCCATCCTGTACAAGGTTGATTTACAGAAGCATATGCATATCTATTGACAACGCATTATTTAACTTAAGGAAATTTGAACAGTTACACCATTGAATAGCTTCGCTTCAGTCTGTGTCTTGCTCCATCAGTCATGAAAGTCATGAAATCACCAAATATGTAACTGAGGCAGAGTAAGACGGGATTTCGTGCAAGTGGTTATACTTTGGAATTTATAAGATAGGCTATATCAGTTACTACCCTCGAATAATAATTTCGAAAGTTTTTTATTATAGCTTGCGATATAGCTAGCCTGAATCTCCGCGATTTTATCCGTGGGTATGTTACCTATGGCTTAATTCACTGTGAGATATAGGCTAAGGGATGTTTCCACGTCGATTCACAAGTGGATTATATTGTTGCCGTTGACTAGTGCATATACGGAGTCTAGAACCTGTGTCTATCTATGCGTTTGCGTAAACAAATTCCACTGATCGCGCGAGTTTCCTTATTCAGTCATTCCGATTGGATCATCTCCAGGCTCCTCATACGACCTTCTCGGCTTAGAGCCTCGAGTCCTTTCGTCAATAATGTTGGACTTATCAATTGCTTCCTTATCGTCTTGCTCTGCATCAGATTAACAAATGCAACAAACAGTTAAATAACAACATAGTAATTGCACAGAGAGAAGACAAAGGGTACCTACCCAGCTGCTGATCGGTGTCTGCTGAAGATGCCTGAATCGGATCCTCAAGTGGAGCATTATTGCTTTGCACGGGAATTGACTCTTTCCCGCCCGTTACATACGAGTCATCTTGGAATTGTCCCTCTGGGACGTTGTCTATTTGTTCCGATGCGTATTCAGACATAGCGTATATCAATGCCTTCTGAGAGTAAAATTTTAATTAAAAAAGATTTCAGTATCAGTTGAATCAAAATCGCCTTTATTTTACAGCTTCTCGTTGACGCAGGTAGCAGTATTTATAGTTGTAGATTAATGTAGGTCGAGCTGTCCTGACATCACTTGATGCAGATTCACATGTGAGCATATAACTACCGCTGACGCGAAGAACGGGAACTTTCCGAGTTCGCGCCATTGTGGCTTTTGACTGTGAGAAGTGCAAAAGTAAATTCTATCGAGTTCTTTCGATCTGGATGCGAATCAATGTGTAATGAACAAAGTAGGATCAATCGGTGTCTACGGATGCGCTACTTGAGGATCCATGACGCCTTGAGCGTGGCTTCCGCTAAGCCCGGACACTTTTATGTGTCGGAATTGCGCGAGCTTTCCCATATCCAAGTTGGTTCCACTAATCCTTTTAGATATGGTTTCGTCCTCAACAGGAAACGGCTCTCATTGATATGCAAAGGAAGAATTCGGTAAATCAGTGTCGATATTAATATTATATGATCCCTTTGAAAGAAATGCATGACGATATTATAAAACAGCTAAGCCGTATTCTGAACAATCTGAGCGTCATACTACAACTATGACGACTTAGAAAGGGCATTGAAAGAAAAAGAGGAAAAGCAGTGGTACGGAATCGTGAGTGACCGACCGTTCAATATCTACTTGGTCTTTCAATAACATGTAGATGGACAAGTATTATCGCTTCCCTTTAGATAGGGAAAGCCACAATAATGAATATGTTGGCATATCAATGTTCTACAAGTTTGCAATAAATGGTTCATGGTGACGTTGGCCTCACGTATGGCGGGCTCAATCATCAAAATACTCACTGATGAATACAATGCGAGCAATATCGTAGGCAAGGATAATGGTTTACGTGGGAACTAAAGCCTCCTAAAAACCTCAAGTTGACCAATCTGCTTAACTAGCTTCATTCCTCTCATCATAAGGCATTTTCATGCACTCTTCTTTCCGCCCATCATTGATTGAACTGTACCTCCCACACTGCCCTCTGCTGTGAAATGCTCGCCAATCATTCCTTCCTTGCCGAAAGGCCCTCCTACTTTTTGCCCCATCCCTCCAATAGCACCCTCTTCTACAATGCACGAGAGACGAATAAGTATCACACTTCGTACCAAAAGAGAGGGAAATTCTGTATGATGAGGTCTGTCAACGTACCTGTGAAGTGTTGACCAATGGCACCTTCCTTGTCAAACATCTTGGGCTTTGTATCATTAGCATCCATTTTTGGTGCGGTGTCTGATAGACTCGGTTTTGGTTGAGTCTGAGATGACATGGTTCTTGGATTTCTTTCCGATGCTACGCAAGTTGGATTCAATTAGAGAGAAAATGTTGTTAAAAAGCTTTAGGAGTTATTTGATGACTAGATGCATTTAAAACAATTCGAAATATATAAAAGCCAAATCTTATATAGAATATTATTTTGCTGTCATATTAATGTGGTAGGAGCGAAGTGCTTGATGGCGCATAGCCATGATTCATAAATGACGCACGAGTCCGGCTCAACTTGAAGAGCCACTCTTAATGACGGTTATCATTTACTTTCCTTATAAACTTAACCTGGCAATTGTGATGGGGTTGATGACGCTCAATGACACCTGCATTGATCATATCATTAAAAGTATGGGAATTATTGCTAGTCAATGATATTTCTCGATCACATGATGCCAAGTCAGTGGCAATTAACTTGTTGCAAATAGCCTCATATTTCTTCGGTATATGGACGAATACGACGTAAGTCATTACCATCGTAGCGTAAGTCTATTCTCTTTGCCTTTCCTCATAATAGACTAAGAACAATCGATATTCTTCTAAGGCCATTCTGTAAAGAGACATCAGGGGATTTATGACTCCTGCCTGCCTGTTAGCCAAAGTAGTTTACTAGGTGCTCATTGTGGCTACAGTGTGACGAATACCAGCCAGGACTTGTCAATTCTAGATATCTAACCGACAGATATATATATGTATAGTTGGGTTAGCTTTGCCATTTTGTTGTTACAGTTTCTACCTTATATCTATAGCCAAGTACAAGTTCTGTTGAAAGTAAACGAGTAAAGGATATACTAGCTAGACTACTACTGAGGTATTTGGACAACGAAGCGACCGACAATATCACCGCGCTTCACTCGTTCGAATAGCTCTCCAGTTTTCGAAAACTCGAAGACTTCAACTTTTGGAACCACTTCTTTCTTGCTAGCTGAGATGAGCAAGTCTTTGAGCTGTTTTTCAGATCCTACATTACAGGCTTTAATAACCAACCCTGTGAACTCGCATCAGCATAAGTCTTCTAATATATCACCCCCTTCTTTCTAATAGTCTCGCTTACCTCTATATTCGAGCTCAGTAGGAGATATCGGGAGACGATAATCCATTCTGGTAATACCAGCACAGACCATCGTTCCTGTAAATTTTAGATACTTCAGTGCCTGATCAAAGGCTTCAGTTGCTGCTGGGACAACTATAGCCACGTCGGCACCTTTACCATTTGTCAGTTCCATCACCCTTTTGATAACATCCTCTGTCTTGAAGTCGATAAAGGTGTCTGCTCCAAGCTCGAGACTGAGTTTTTGCTTGGTCGATCCGGTGTCGATTGCGATGATGTTTAAACGCTTGTGGCTCTTCATGTTAGAGGCAAGTTGAAGTCCTAAGTGCCCTAAACCGCCTCCGGATCCGGAGATCACCAAAGTGTCACCATCCGCAAGAGCATCGTCGGATAGGGATAAGGCCCCAACCATGGTAATGCCACCGCAGAGAAACGGGGCGGCGTGGAAGGACGACAATTCATCTGGAATTGGCATCAAGTAATCCGCGTTTGCAACAACATACTGCTGCATAGTACCTGGTCTATCAGTGCCGGTATTGAGTTGGTTTATACACCAATTATCAAGACCTGCTTTGCAATTGTAACAGTGGCCGCACACACTGTAAATCCATCCAAGGCCAACCCTCTGACCAAGAAGAGTATCCGCAGCGTCGGGACCAAGCTGCACGACTTGGCCAATTCCTTCATGACAGGGGACTTCGTCGTAATGGGGGTTGTTTCCCGTATATATGTAAATATCTGAGTAGCTGAGGTTCACCAAAAGGCCATATCAAGTCAGCCATCTATATTCAGCATAGTATGAAAGAGAAGATTGCTCATGACTCGGTGCTTCATTCGCTTCTATGACACACACTTACCAGATTCCTGAGCATTCCATCTTCAGTAAGACTTCATTTTTCCCAGGTTGTGGGACAGGATAGTCATGGCGGATTTCTATTCTTGCATTTGAACCAGGATTCTTGATTAGAGCTGCTGTTTGGACGCCAGGGATTTGCGCGGTCATTTTGGAAGTGTCTCTGCAATACTGAATTGTTAACTTGGGTGATGAACTAGAGTAATGATTTTGAAGTAAAGCAATACGAATCTTCATTTAAACAAGTGCACCTTATTATGGATCATTGTAGATAACATCTATTAATAATGAGCTACCAAGATTTCCTCAGTGTACTACGCATAAGCAACATGTCTCTAATCAATTCGGAAGCGAGAATTGGGGGTTGGTGGGCTAGCTGAGGAAAATTGACCGGATCCGAACAACGAAAGATAGTGGAAGAGGGGTTGAATACCTTGAGGATTTCGGATCCGAAAGCAACCGCACCATGTGCAGGGCTGGTGCTTACGACGGGCAACTTTGCATTATGCTTACCTTAAGCTAATAAGCCCCTACGCCCAGTTTTAGTGAGGCCATTTCTTCAGCTGTGGTTTACAAATGCAGAAACCAGATAGTGGAACGTTTGTTAGCTTCCCATAATTTGGTTGTTACTTCGCTCCTTAGGTAGACTAATCGCATACGTATTGTTATGATGACACGTATCGAAAAATCTTGGACTCTAGGTTAAAGGCTGCTTACTTATTACCATTTCTCTCGGAAGAGGTGATCAAGTCTTCTTAGGCAGGCTGGAAGTAATGACAAGATAAAATCTCACAAACATAAACCAATAGGATTTCTGAAGCCCACAGAAAGGGCCCAAAATGAACAGCTCTTAGCACATGGAATGTGATTAATAAGGGAATATGCAATGAAATGAATACCATAGTAGGTGGCTGGCAACTATTCGCTTGAGATCGATTTGAAGCAAGGAGTAGATCTCAGGACGTAGGTTCATGTGACGCTAGTCGCGGAAATAGACCGTGAATTAGTCACGGCCATAGTAGGTAGCTGAAATATGTCTATAGCATTGGGTAGTAATGGTTCCATTACTGTGGAGTTTGAAGCGATGGTAGGGATAGTTGCCCATGAGTTGTGAGGATGCCAACTTGCTTGATAAGCTAGGTTACGCGCTGTTTACGTTTCTGGGAACGCCGAATGGCTTTATATGACAAGCTTTCATAAGCTGTAATTAAAAATCAAGGAAATTAAATGGCTCACAGAAGCATTGCTTTAGGGCAGAACTCCGTAAAAGATATAAAGAGCCATATACCCCAAGCCACATGCCTATCCATATCATATCCATCATTCTTTATTCTAATCGAATCTCAAAATTTCGAACATCTCTGTTTCAGTGTGATAAAAGGCACAATACTTTCGCCTATAAGAGAAACAAAAATGGCTTTAAGAGTTGCGGTGGCTGGTGCTACTGGAGATTTAGGAGTTCCCATTGTAAATGCTCTCCTAGCGGCAGGCTACCGTGTGACAGCCCTTACACGGGAGGGCAGCAATAACGCCTCAAAACTCCCAACCGATTCAAATTTATCCATCACTGAAGTTGACTACTCCTCGGTGCAATCTTTGACAACTGCTCTCAGAGACCATACAGTAGTCGTCTCTACTCTTACCTCTACATTCGTTGACGACCAAAATCCTCTCATCGATGGTGCTATTGCTGCTGGGGTTACAAGATTCATTCCTTCAGAATTCGGCAGCGATGTCACTCATCCTAAACGCAACGCATTACCTGTATTTGAAGGCAAGGTCAAGACTCACGAGTATCTCAAGATCGCTGCAGCTAAGAATCCGGGCTTCACTTACACCGTGATATGCACCGGAGCCTTCTTGGACTGGGGTCTTCATGGCTTCCTGATAAATGTTCCTGAACATACTGCCACTATTTACAATGGCGGCAACATCCCATGCTCGGCTACCAATCTCGATACGATCGGCAAAGCTATCGTCGGAGTTATTCAGCACCTTCCCGAGACAGCCAACCGTCCAGTTTACATTCAAGATACTGTCTTTACTCAAAACCAATTGATCCAGTATGCTCAAGAGAAGGACGGTATTCCATGGAAGCTCACGCATAAATCTACCGAGAAAATGTATGCCGATTCAATGGCGGAAGTGGCAAAGGGAAATAACGATTGGTTGGTCCTGCAGGATTTTGTTTTTAGCGCTTGTTTTGGAGAGGGATATGGGAGTGACTTCTCCCATCTCTTAGATAATGAGCTTTTAGGAGTAAAGGGTTTGACAGACGCTGAGGTTAGGGCACTTGTTGAGAGCCTGTTGTAGTACATGCCAGTCGCAGGAGGAGAAATGGGCGGGGACATACTCCCAGTTGTGAAAATACTCATGTTAATTTTACCAACGCGGGTGCACGGATAATTAGAAGCTTTTAAATCTTAATCGTATCAATATCTGGTCAATATTTCATTCGCTGTGTTGGCAAATCTTGTTACGGTATTGTTTTGTTGTCTCTTGAAGGACGCATCGTCTTTGAGGGCTGGCCACTTGGAAAGTGTCGGAAATTACAACCGCATGCTTCTCAAAACATCAAACTACCATGTTGTTTAATCAATTTCTATTAATTATCTGTAAATACAATGAAGTTTACGCTATGTGTTTAAGCTGCAGGGCGGGTAAATCTCATAAAAAAGTCCGTGACAAGAGTTGTAGCGGAGATGTGGGTTGGCAAGTCACCAGCAGCTATTTGAGAAAAGTTGATATCAGGCGAAGCCCAGTCATGCTCTTAATCGCAAATATGTTAGTCAATGGGGCTTATATAAAATCTTGGATGCATAGATTGGGTCATACTCTGGTCATCGGTCTTGTAATGTTCAATAACAGCCTCTTGGCCATCGCAAGTCCAGCTGAGGTGATGCACATCGTCGTCGAACAAATCTTCTTGCTGGTATTGCTCATCACATTGGTTCCTCTCCGCCCACCGGCTAAGCCTATAGTTTCCCAAGCATTAGCAACCGACTCAGCCGTAGTTATGAGATTAAACGTGGTAACTCACCAGTTCGGAATGGAAGGCTCGATGCCACCCTCGCCCTCACCACCATCATATTTCACATCAGTGTCCGCGCCTCCATGGATCTCGAGGATTGGCATAGGCACGCGAGCCGGCTGACAGTCCTGATAGTTTGCATCGTTATTGGTGTAGAAGGAGCCAGACCCAGGCGCAAAAGCAGCAAACTCGCCACCGACAGTGGCGTTGCAGGCAATAGTATCAACAAAGCCTCCGCCAATGGACAAGCCAGTAGCATAGATTCGAGCACTGTCAATACAATAGTTCTGCCTCAAGTCGACCAGCAAGTCCCAAACGAACTGCAAGTCTTGTTCGACCGTCGCTTCGGAATAATTGGCTCCAGCCCAAGCACCGCCTAGCCCATCTGGATACACCATGATCTTGTCGCCCGTAAACTGCGAAGAATCGAAACCGGTGTCTGCCTCGAAGAAGAGGCCAATGCTACTGGAGCCATGGAAGCCTAGGATAGTTGGGTACTGATTATTCGCATCGTAGCTCGAGGGTACATGTATCAAATAGCTACGGTCGACGCCGCCCGATTGAACATCGCGGGGTTGAGGGATGCCGTTGAATAAGTGAGACTTTCCACAACCAGACGTATCACCGCCAGTGTACGGCGTAGCAGCCGACGCGCAGGCAGCGGATAGCGCGAGGATACTAAGTCTCGTAGCCTTCACCATTGTTGATGTGTGGATTCTTGACTCGATCGCGGTGATGGGCTGGCCGCTCTACTTCATATATAAACGCACCCGTTTCTCCCACTTCTATCTACCCAGCCTTTGAGGTAATTTTCGGTTCCATCAATACCGGAGAACATTCACGTGTCAGGTACAGAGTTCCAACGAGTATACGAGCTACACCGAACTAGGTGGATAGAATTCTCCAAAGCACCGATTAGGAAGGTATTGAGTTTCGAGGCTATCACCGTTCCACGCGCGTTAATCATGCTTTGTAATTTAGACATGGCTGAGACATCTGTTAGCATATCACCTGCGGCGAATCACGATGTACCGAATTTTCCAATACCACCTAACACAAGGTCCAACTGATCCAAGAAAGAGTTTTTTTTTTTTTTTTCTCTCTCAATAATATCTAATGTGCCAAAGTTTATATAATCTTGGGCGGAGTCTTGGCTTTTCCCGTCCAAATTTGGTTCTTTTCACCGCCGCTTGTTTCATCTAAATCGAATCACTCGGCGCAATCAGTAGCCTTTTGATTGGCTCAATCACATAGATATCACAAACGTCTTCTTACTCCTATTTTAAAGCATGTGGCGTTGAGATCAATACACGTGCTCTCTGGCCTAGCTGCCTTATGATGTGCAGCATCAGCATATTTTGGAACGTATGACTGGTCGACTGTACACTGTTGTGTGCGGAAGTCATTACAACGTATTTGTGTTAGGGTAACATGCGTATATAGAAGATTCAAAGGTCATATTATTTGAGGAGCTAGATTGCGAAGACAATGTCGGTAACTACTAGTTAAATCAGGTAGGAACTCGTGGCGCCTATGCTTTGGTAAATGCGCAGGTCATCTTTTACCTCCACTTGTTATCCCAGCCAGCCTGCTCAATGACGAAAGCAATGGCAAGCTCAGAAAATCGAGCCATGTGCTGAGAAAGATTTAGCAAATTTGCCCAAATAAGCAGACAAGGGACACCAACCTCAAGGGAGAAAACTCCAGCGTCGTCGTCAACGTGCATTGTGTCTTTTTCAGTATGAATATAAGGATCATAGTCGCCGACAGATGGGTTGCCCTCCGACGCAAAAGCAGCAGGATACCCAAGCTGTGTATACGACATGTAATCCGAACCAGCACCGCTGATCTTGTTAGCCACCTCATCATACAAAAAACGCACAACACTAGGGGGTTACGGAGTTCTAAACTTACCTAGGCAGCGTAAAGACGTTGGCAGGGATGGAAATATACTCCTTAGCCAAGTCGGCGGCCCAGCTTGTTAGCGGGGCGTCTGCTTCAGTCTCGATGAATCCGATGGATTCGGTCGCGTTTTTGGCAATAAATGCAGTCATATCCTTGGTGGTGTGTTAATGAAACCGTAACAACTGACGACAGGGGGTTCCAAAATACTCACAAACTCCATCATGGCACCAATACGAGCCCCAGACTCTTTCTTGTATCTCGCAACGGCCTGGCTACCCAAGAGCCCGCCCTCCTCGGCAGCATACCAGTGGAATTCAACAGGTCCATTAACGGGAATGAATCCGCTCGATGCCAGAACGCGGAAAGCTTCGAGGATGCTCACCGTACCGGAACAGTCGTCGTCGGCGCCTGGAGAGGGAAGTAGCGGGAACAGATAATTCATAGAGTCTTGGTGCGCGCCGAGAATGGTGAGTGGCAATGAGAAGTTTCGCACTTTGGGCTCAAAGCGAGCAATGATAGAGGATTGAGGGAAAGGATGAGTAAAGAACTCGAGAGAAATGTGGGTGTGGAATGGTGCGTTTTTGATGATCTAGCAATATTGACTTTAGTATGGGAAGCCAGATTGGTCTTATAATGTTTGGACTGAAGTCTATCATACCTCGGCGATGTGGTTATAAAGCCATTGTGAACTCTCCTCGCCAGTGACACTACCAAAATATCGCGTATAATAGCCCGTCATATGCTCAAGAACATCGTGCATCTTCTCAGTGGATACCCGAGGCAGCAATGACTTGACAAGGCGCTGATGCGAAAGTTTGGGCAAGTCTGCATGGTAAAATTAGCAACATTGAATAGCCATCAAATTAATAGGCAGCGCATCGATCCGACTTACGGGCTTCACCGGCGAGCGCATGAACTTGCTCTTTGTAAAAGTCTTCGTGGTCGGTAATATCGGTAAACTTCTTGCCCTTGCGCTTCAAGCGCATTTTATCACCCTCCGTCATCCATTGAGCGCTTGGCTCTCCAAACACGTGAAGGAGGCGTGGTTGAGCTAGCGCTTCAGCAGCCTCGGGATGAAGCGAAACGAACGCGTCAACAGGATCCGGATGTTTCTCCAAGGCAGCGAGAATAGCTAGATCAACTTGGTGGTGCTTAGTTGAAGCGGTGAGATAGATTTGCGCGTCTTGGGACGCGGAACAAGCGGCGAAGAAGCTCGCGCTCAAGAGCAGCGAGCTCGTGCAGATTGACTTCAGCATCGCGGCGGTTGAGTCGTCTCAGTACTTGCTGAAACGTGAGGGAGACAGCGTATGAAAGTGTCAACGTAAGGACGCTTCACCGTCAAAATATTGTGAGCGCTCAAGGAACCTATGTAGGTATGAGTCTGAATCCGTGAACCTGACACCATCTCAAACCCCACTTCCCACGGCGGAGTTGATCCTACAGGCTAACTAACCCCGGGTTCTGTACCCCAAGATAAGAGCCGTCAAACAGTTACAGTAATAAAGAGGCTGTACGTATTCGCCGCAGCCTAAAATAACATGCAATGAGGAGTAGAGCAAAGGTTACAACTTCTTCCAAAGATTATCTTGTTGACGTTAATGTTTTGCTTGCCCGAGCGTTCTTTCATTGCTACGACACGCCAGATGAGGGAAAAGAACTGGAGCCGGAGTTACAGTTCTCGGCTACAGATAAAAATACCAGTGTCGAAGCCGCGAGCTTTAAAGGTGCTGCTCAGAATTATACCCGTTGGTAAATGTATGTAGGAAATATGATTCCAATTACGGTGTTATGCTTGTCTCTTATGCTCGATATCGTTCACTGTAGGTGTACATATTCCTGCGAGTTGTAACCGAATATGACTCCATAGCAGGCATTGGATGCATGCTAATGATACAATATTTAGTGCGTTTGACAACAGTCTGCTCACGCATCTCAATTCTTCACGACTTATAACTACACATATCCGCCATCCCTCGTTATGTTAGCCCTTATATCGACGGGCTCCCACGAATGCACGTATCCTTGCATCCGGCGACTGTTATCGTAACTTTCTCTTCTGTCGGATATCGTCTGCGTGATGACAGTGGATACCGGAATGACGTGTCTATCATCCTCGCGAGGCCATTCGTGTAGTTGTTGCTGCGAGGATGATGTTGAAACTTTTGGAAGCTTATACTGATCATGCTCTTGCTCACTATTCCTAGGAGTTTCTTTTCCCTCGTTTGTGGTGTATCCTTTCGACCTCGGAGATGAGTGTCTTGAGCGGAGAAGTGACATCGATCGAATTGAGGAGTATAGCCTGCTCTGAGAGAATATTTTCAGCCACCAAGCGTATATACCTGGGGTACAGCTGACAATGATAGTTCCAAAAGTGTCGATATATCTATGAGACTTTAGCATAATGTTACTTCACCTAAAACCCCCAATATCATTATAGGCTTACGCGGTGATGGACACATTAGCCCCGTTCCAAGTTGGATCAATAGAACTCCTAAAGACAACAATTCTATAAGCAAGTCCAACTGAGCTTGTAACAATGATACTAAATATTATATTCGTTGTTAGAATTCGACCAAATTGTTCTGCTAAAAGATGGTGGGGAGAAATTTGACACGTACGCGAAGCCGATGAGAAACACGATGATAAGACCATGTTTCTTTTTCTTATCCATCTTCAAGTTGGCGATGATGGGAAACGGCAGGACAAAGATGGCTATATCAACCACCAAGATGCAAACGCCCACAGCTACAGTAACTGGGGCACCCGTAGCACATCTGGCCATGAGTTTGCTATCCCAAACGTCGTGTCCGTGGGGAACGCAGAGCACAGCGAAGAGCGCTGCATGAGTGATCGAGCCCATGGAGAGCAAGATGAGGAGCACAAAACAAGCATTACGAACCCATCGAAGGCTACCGAAGATTCGGAGAAAAAATGCCAGGATGGATGCCTTTGCAAGCCAGTTGCCCGCAGCGCCAAAGAACTGAGATGCGACATGCCTCTATAAAGACAGTTATTGTTAGCATAACCCATATGACTCCATTTCGATGAATGCATACCTTTAGAACCCGGGGTGTAATGACGCTCACAGGTAGATCCCATGCGTGCTTTCCAAGCCCTCTTCCAAAATCTTATGGTGGAGAGTATGAAGGTAAGCGCTGTATTCATGATGCAAAAGACATAATAGAAAGATAGATAATGTGACCAGGTTGACTTACTAGCCGTAAGTAGTCCCCAGTAGACGAGCACAGCTATCTCTGCTCCCAAGCAAAAGCCTGAGGTTCAGTATTAGCGAACATCATTTGCGTAATAGTAGTTTGAACTACGAATTAACAACATTATTCTTACAATCGTCAAGAAATAGGCGCCCGACATTTTTGCAACTCGCATAGATACGAACTGCAACAAAGATGATGCTCAGCGAAATGATGACCCCGCCGATAGATAGGTTTGCCGTTTCCAACGACTGGCCACCTAGGAAGTTTGTTGGTTCCATCTGGGTTTGGGCTTAATGGAAGCTTCGAGAAGTCAATATTTCCTTAGGGAATAGCCATCCTTGCAGAGTTCTAACAAAAAGTCAACGCTCCAATGTCGCTGAGCACGAGTACGGAGCAGCTCGATGGAGACAATGTTTCCTGATATTTATAGAATACTGGAAACATTTACAAGAAGAGCAGACATATTTGGGGTAGGCCATAATATCCTAAAATTGCTAAGGGCGATTTGTCGACCAGCACGCCCTCATGATGCAGGAAGGAATCTTGGCGTCAGACTCTCTAAGACAGTACGACGCTGCGCCATGCCCATCGAGTGGGACACTGCATGTATTTCGGACGTCGATCACGCCTCTTCGTGTTTTTGTCTCACTTGAAGTTTGTACGAAGTAAGCTTGATCCAGATCCTTCTGTGTGTATGTAAGGAGAAGGGCGGCATTTGGTTTGAAGGCATTTTTTCTGACCTTTATTTTGTCATATTCTGTCCAAAATGGAAGAGATTTGCTCACGTGGGAGAAGGGCCCAAGGAGGAGCTGAGTGTTACAGCCTTCTTCGAGATAAATTTATCTTGTTGACGTACAAAATCGACCCTTCATGGACGAATAGGGTTGTTTGTAGTCAAAGGACGAAATACCGATGTGGAATTCAGACCCCATATCCCATCCAAGTGTGCCTTGATGGGAATCTTGAGACAAACACGTAAGGATCTATCGACGGAATCAGGAACATGAGTGTTCCTAATTCCCATTGGGAGGCAGAATCCAGCCTTGCTGGTCTCAGCTGGTTGCCTCTGTGCAATTTTTGATGATGTGTCGTCGTAACGGATGTATCAACTGCTTGGGATATGGCCGGTAATGGATCTCGTTGGTTATAGATATAAAATAGACATTGGATAGCATCTCTCTGTAGTAGGCCAAGAAGATACCAACATTGATCATTGTTACTGAATTACAGCTCGACTAAATCACGATTTGCACTCTAAACAAGAATGGATCAAGCATTCTATACTGCCTTCAGTTGCCTCTTTCTGGGCTTATTACTTGCTCCGTCAATTTTCACCCGACATGGGACTAGACGGGACATGGATAAGTCTCTCACTTGGCGATTCATGCAAGGTCTCCTCTCGGTTGCCAAAAAGCGCATTAATGCATGGCTATTTCTTTTCAGGGGGCCATCTATGATCCAAGAGGAATATGACAAAGTCAGACCACTCTAATTCTACTTATGTTACAATACACCATGGGAATCTAATGAGAATTTTAGTCTAATGGATCTCCATTTTGGATCCAAGCTCCCGAAAATCGCTATCTAGTAGTGTCATCATGGGATCAGATCAAAGAAATCGATGCAGCTCCGGAAGATGTTCTATCTCTCCAGGCGGCAGCCAAAGAGATCTTGCAGCCACGATACACAATGCAAAACTTCAATTGGTTTGATAAGAAGGGTGTGGATGGAACGCCACTCGTGAGAACGCTTAGAACGCTACTCACGAACCATCTCCCCGATATCTTACCTGATGCTCGGCGGTCTATGTCCGCACTCTTCGATAGTATCCTTGAGTCACACTCAATGGTCAACGGTAAGATACCGGAAATCTGAAGTTGATCGTCATTGAGATGTATTGCTGATACATTGCGAAGGATCGTACACAACTCCGCTATTCCCCATGGTTATTGAGGCTATCGCACTCACAAATGCAGCTGCTTTCTTCGGAAGGGACCTAGGTGCGTAAGATTAACCAGTGTGAAAGAATTCATTATTAATTATCTATTTGACAGCTTGTAACAAAGAGTTCATGAGCGCCGCCATGAACTTCATCGAGCAAACGCTTATAACAGCGGAAGTCGTACGAGTGCTTCCTAGCGCCATTGCACCGTAAGAGAATAGATCACAAATGAACATACATTCGCTGGAGCATTTCTAATCCTGATTAATTAGCTTCATTGGAAACCTTCTAGCAAAAAAGCTAGGTGCTGGTAAAATTCTTTACGATTCATTAATACCTATTGCAGAGGAACGTCTGGAAGAGAAAGCGCGAAAAAGTCTTGGACAAACCGTGCCTGAGCATGTGAGTATTGCTCGTTTGGCTCATTGGTACACAAACCGTTATGTTTCATTAACTAATAGGCACAATAGCATGATTGCGTCCAATGGGTTATGGAATGCTCGCCTCGATCAAAGCCATGGTCTGCAGACCGAATAGTCCATGAGTTAATGGCACTCTGGTTTGGGTCAGTCCATATAACATCAACGGTAAGTGAATGTTCGATTTATGTTATGCTTATGCTATGTTAATTAAAGCTGATCGCAAAATCACGCCAGACTGCTTGCTTCGCACTTCATCATCTCTGTATTCACTCTGAGTATATTGAGCCCTTGCGAAACGAAATTGAAAGCACCGGGTGGGCAAATTTCGACAAATCGGGAGGTAAAGCTTTTCCACTACTTGACAGCTTCATGAAGGAATCTGCCCGAATGAATCCGGTAGAGTCAGGTAAGTTCTTTTAATACAATACCTTCCCTATGCCGCAGAAGTAGAAGGAGTGACAATTATCTCAGTGAGCTCTCGTCGCATGGCTCTGAAACCATTCGAGCTATCTGACAGCTCTAGAATCGAGCCTGGAGAATGGATCTGTACAGCTCCACGAGGCATGATGGCAGATGCTCGCTATTATGCGGATCCGCAAAAGTTCCAAGGCTTCCGCTTTGTTGATCCGGATTTGCTCGACAAGAAGGTTTCTGGAATCTCTGGCGATGGTGTTCCACAAGAAACGCCATCCAAATTTACAGACATTGCCGACTGGCAGCTTTGGGGTACAGGGCGTTCGGCATGGTGAGTAACGATTGACTCTCAATTAAAACTACAGGACCAACACTGACAAGTAACGGTGTGCTAGCCCTGGTCGGTTTTACGCAACCGCTGTCATGAAGACTCTCCTTGCATTGTTTATTACCAAGTACGACATGCAGCTCGAAGATCCCAAGGCAGCCCGATACTTTGCATGGCGCACCTTCATTTATCCCTTCACAAGCACGAAAGTGGTGCTTCACCCTCGTTCTGCTGCGTAACCTCTTTTTCTTTGTCCTTTTCTTTTCTTTCTGTCTTTCTTTTTTTCTTTGTGTCTTTCTTTTTCTGGATACATATTGGCAAGGGATTTGACGGCTAGATGGTACGAGTATTTGCAATTGTGTTCAGTGTTTTTTACAGACTAGAATAGAGTCCAATCAAATCTTATAGACGTCGCATTTGTGAAACACTGACACACTCACTGATCACATGGTTCTTTCGGTGCCGCATACCAGAAGGCGGAGTAAGTGACACAAAATGGTTGGCTCGAGTAAAACATGTGTCCAGTGCCCATAGGATGCGATGATCCTACATTGACGGGCCAACAACACATGCGCCGTTTGCGTGTATACTGTACATGTCAGCCCGCCCTTTGTGAGACAATGCAGGCTTCAGTTGCTTTTTAAATTATCGACGCTTTTTCTCCAGCCACAATCCTCCTCTTCTCTCTTCCATCGACGGATTTCTACCATCTTAGTGTCGTGGGTAGGACAATATTCCCATCATCCATTCTGATCCACAATATCATACGCATATAATGTTCGAACACTTTGAGTTACGGCACATTATGCCGCTCTTGGTCGCATCTGCCACGACATTCGGTGGCCTCTGGCCCTTCTGGTCGCCGAAAAACGCCATGCTCGAGTTTGGTTTGCCCGAGAGCATTGCCGACGCCCCTGCTGCACAGCCTGTCATGGTGCTTTGCAGCGCACGCACCACCGCTCTCGGCATGCTCATGTTTACCTTTTACCAACAGGAGAAACTTGCAGCTGTGGATACCGTCATGGCTGTTATGGGTGCCTACCTGGGCATCGTGGATGGTTACGTGTGCTGGAAGGAAGGAATGCCAGGCAAGGCTGTGTTTCGTTGTGTCTCGGGAATGGTCATCGCGGGATGGGGGTTGATTGGATTGACGGAAAGTGGCTTCTAGAGTGGCAAACGGGTATCTGTGAAGCTTCCGATGCCCCTGTCCAAAGTTTATCTGACACTTGGCGTAGCTTAATTACTGGATGGAATTGGGGGCTAGTTGAATACAAAAGGCGCCGTCACACGGCTAGCTCACTTGTCTCCGCGACATATTATGATAGATGGAGCCTGACTCCGTGATATGAGACATGGATGAGAGATCGGCATCCATGTGGACTAGCACGTATGGCTGAGCCCGTTGGAATGTCTCTGATAATGAAGAGGATCAGACGTTTCATTTCATTGAAGCGCCCGCCAACATACTCCATAGACCGCGTGGGAAGTCATAAATTGTACAGACTAGGTTGCTTGAGAGAATACAAGGCATAATTACCGACCATTTGTCTATCATATATGAAGAAGGGTGCAACAGACTGTGGCCAACGCGCAAACTCGGGCGAGTCAGGAGAGCAGACGTTTCCGGAGGTTGAGCGAAAAATCTGACCGCATTCTGCATTCTGAACTGTAATTATTCACGTCACAACTATTATTTACTCATAGAAAAGGTCAACATCGGATGAGCTATTAGCTATTTGGAAGTTATCCATCTGTGCAGTATTATACCGTCAAAATGGGCGCCCCAGAAACAGCGGTAATATCGTCAGATACAGATGTACAATCCCAACAAGTTCAACCACAGTCAACAGAAAAGGATAATGGGGATATTCGAGTTGGCGAGGCAGAAAAATTCCAGCACTCATGGAGACTGTGGTGTGTCTTCATTGTTCTTTGTTTATTGTCATTCATCTCTGCCATTGATGCCACCATCGTCACCACTTCGCTGCCAACAATCACACGCGACATTGGCGGCAGCCAAGAATATGTTTGGGTCGTCAACTCGTTTCTCTTCACGTCTACAGTCCCGCAGCCGCTCTTTGGCCAGATCTCGGATATCTTTGGCCGCCGAAATCCCATGATTGTCGCCATTGCCCTTTTCGGTCTTGGTAGTGGGCTTGCTGGTGGCGCTCAAAATCCCAGGATGCTCATAGCAGCTCGAACCATACAAGGCCTTGGTTCAGGTGGATTGTATGTGCTTTCGGATATAATTGTATGCGACATGGTTCCTCCTCGCCACCGGGGCCCCTACCTGAGCGCCATTCTCTCGACGGCAGCTATCGGGACGACTATTGGGCCCATTATCGGTGGTGCCCTGGCCCTGAAGAATTGGAGATGGATATTTTGGCTGAATCTACCGGCCGCAGCCATAGGATTGCTCGCCATTGTCCTTATCCTCAATGTCAAGTATACGCGCAGTCCGTCGTGGCGCCATGCCCTTTCTCGGGTTGACTTCCTGGGCAACATCATATTCGTGCCATCGATGGTCAGCATATTCTTTGGTCTAATTATGGGCGGCACTCGTGGTTATCCTTGGAGTTCTTGGAAGATCATCGTACCTCTTATTCTTGGGGTCCTTGGGTGGATCACGTTCCATATACACCAGGCCTCGCCAGTGTGTCGAGAACCAAGCATGCCGCCTCGACTGTTTAAACACCGCACATCATCCGGGGGGTTCATTATCATTTTTCTGGGAGCAATCATACTCCAAGCTATCAACTATTTCTTGCCTGTCTACTTCCAAGGAGTCAAGGGAGCCACGCCACTGATGTCGGGAGTTTATTTCCTGGCTTTTGCTCTGGCTATCATGCCTTTTGGCGGCATGGCCGGATTTTTCATGTCCAAGACTGGCCTTTACATACCTCTACATTGGTTGGGCTTTGCCCTCAGCGCCATCGGTGTCGGATTGTTCTCAACTTTGGATGAATCTTCTAGTCGAGCAGCGTGGATTGGCTACCAAGTCCTTGCTTCAGGTGGTACTGGAATTATCTTTACAGCCACGCTACCATCAACACTGGCAGCGCTCCCCGAGTCAGACGTGGCTGTTGCTACAGGCACTTATTCATTTGTGCGTTCATTCGGGCTGGTCTGGGGCGCTACTATGGCATCAATAGCCTTCAACGGCCAAATAAATACACATGCCGCTTCCATAAGTAACCAGGAAATACGCAACTTGCTTATAGACGGAGGTGCATACGCATATGCTGCTGTACAAAATGGCGGTATAGCCGAATTGCCAGACCCTACCCGAAGCCAGGTTATCGCCGTCTATGTAAAAGCTTTGAGAGTCGTGTGGTGGATTGTTACGGCCATCTCAGGCCTAGGCTTTTTAGCCACCTTTATTGAGAAACATGTTGAGCTTCGTAAGAGTCACTCAACAGAATATGGACTCTCAGAGGAGGATAGTGCGAGGGATGGGCGTCAGACTTTAGTTCCAGACGCAAGGGAAAGAGTATGACCACGGATTAAAAACGAGGACACCGGAAGAGGGCGGAGAATAGAATTTATATAATAGCATAATGAAGAAATGCGTCCTGCTCAATGCTCCCAATTTGGGTAACCAGCGCGATGCCTCAGCTAAACTCCTAAATGAACTGCTGCCGAATCAATAGAGACGGCGGTTGGCTGCTGGTGGTTTACGAACCTGGTGCTAGCGTTCCTCGCTGCTTGAAAGGTTAAATGCACGCTCTCTTTTCATTAGAACGGCATTTGATGGTATTAGGCGCCTTTGGGCACCATTGGCTCTAGGATTACGCCCGGGGTTGTAGAGTCCCAATTGAGTATTACATCCGATCGTATGTGATTTGATGACAGCTGAATCTTATGTAGAACGGCAATGTTTGGAGAGAAAAAGAGAAGTAGTCTCCAGCGACTTGCTTACAGGGTGGTCTATCTTCAAATTCTACCCGCAGGCTTTCGTCATCTGTCATTAACAGCCTCGCAGCAGTAATTTCAGGGTCTATATTTGATAGGCATTCAAAGATTCCATGTGACATTACTATATTTTCATTGGGCGATTTCTCTATGCATGTACGCCCATTATGGAGACCAGACTCTCGTCCTCGGTCATCGATGCGGCTCGATTCGACAAACGCGGAAGCTTGACGTTCTAAGATGTCCAGCGCACCACCGATATGATGCATTCAATCGTGTCATTTCAAAACCATTGGATGGACATTTATAGGCTCATGCACCCTGTTGTAATACGTCATTCATCTCTGAGCCCGATATGGGGAATCTCCATGAGACACATTGCGGCTGACCGACGGGAGATTATTTTCTTGGTCCACGTATCCATCTCGAGCCCCTCTGCGTGATGGGCAACTAGAATGTCGTTCAGGAATTGGGCTTCGGGCATAACGTTCGCATGAGACGTTGTGCAACGGCTAGAGACTTGCACTGCGGCTCGTGTGTAATGTGACTGCTTCCCACAATCTCGGGATCAACAACACTGCTGTCAACCCCATCTATTTCCTGCAGTCTACAGATCAGTCCACGTTGTATACCTAATATTAGCTTGCGGGATCGAGTTGGAGACGTCAAAGACATGCTGAGCGTAGAAAATTGGTCCACATAGCCTTTTCACCCATAATATTTATAGAGGCGTAGATTTCTACTCAAGTTTCAATACACCGCAAGGGCACATTTTTTATTCCGCCAAGTCAGCCACGATGAGCCAATCACAATATACCTATGAAGATTACACCATTGGTTGGGTCTGCGCGTTACCGAATGAGCAAGCAGCCGCATTGTTCATGCTGGACGAGAGGCATGAAGACCTCGTCAACCCATCAAACGATCAGAATGCATACACTCTCGGAAGCATCGGGAAGCACAAAGTTGTTATCGCTGGCCTACCCAAGGGAAGGTATGGCAATAACAGCTCAGCAACAGTGGCAACCCGAATGATATCTACCTTCCCAAACATTAGAGTCGGCCTAATGGTTGGAATTGGCGGAGGCATTCCAGAAAAGACTCGACTCGGTGATGTGGTCATTAGCTGCCCAAGTGGCACGGAGCCGGGTGTCGTCCAGTGGGATATGGGTAAAGCAGAACATGGTGGTCAATTCAAGAGAACTGGGTCACTGGCTCCTCCACCAACTGCTTTGCTCACAGCTTTGGGAAAGTTCGAGGCTGATCAAATCACATCAAGGGCGAAGATGCTCAGTTACCTGGATGGTTTGAAAAGCATGCCCACCGTCCCAAGAAGCTTTTTGAAGTCGGATTCTCTCAAAGATGTCTTATTCGACCCCACATATGCCCATGTGAAAGGAGAAGACTGCAGTCGATGCGATGAGAAGAAGTTGGTCCAGAGAAAGACAAGAGAAGATGACATGGTGATCCATTGTGGTCTAATTGCATCAGGCAACCAAGTGATCAAGGATGCAGTTCTTCGAGATAAACTGTATCAGATGTTTGACAAGAATGTCTTGTGCGTTGAGATGGAAGCTGCGGGCTTGATGAATGACTTTCCTTGCATTGTTATTCGAGGGATCTGTGACTACGCCGACTCCCACAAGGATGATAAGTGGCAAGATCATGCCGCAGCCGTTGCAGCAGCGTGTGCAAAGGCATTCCTAGCGGTAGTACCGGCAAGTGAGGTAGATAAACTTCAGCGAGTCCAAGGTACGTTGTGTTGAGGGAGATCTTTGGTTAGATTGCAAATATAACTCATCTCTTCTACTAGTGTCGATCACCCCAAGTGTCCTTCAAGGCGCCAAGTCTTTGGTGGCAGGATGGTGGGGAGACAAGCAAAATACCCTCTCTACACCAGGTATGTCAATACCGCACTGGACTTATCCCTCACTCCAACTAACGATGTGATAGCTGCAAGTTCGCCTACCAGTGAGCCTGAAGATACTAAGAAAGACGAGAGCCAAAAGACTTTAGCGCTTGAAACAATTCCTTCAACGGATACAAACACTCCATCAACAGATACAAACGTGGATTCCATGTCTACAGAGCCTAACTCTGGTTCAAGGTCAAGAGAAGCCAGCCCGGACAGGAGTATACCTACGCAAAAATCTCTAGAATCATTGCTCCAAGAAGCTCCGGCATTACTAACAAAGATGGTCCAAGAAGGACAAGTTGAACGCGCTTTGGATGCCTTAATTACGAGTCTGAACAATCTCAGAATCCCGCAAAGAGACATAAGCACGCCGCGAAATGTTGTGCCGCCGAATGTTGTGCCGCCAAAGGTTGTGTCGCAAGACCCTGGCTGGAACGTTTTTCCACAAACGCCGCCTATGTCACCACAAAGTACCGCTTGGACCGTCAGTGCAAACAACGGCTCTGTGCAAGATACTCACGGTCTTGGCTCAAGAAATGGCACCTATATTCCAGCACAACCACCGCGAAGCCAATCATGGCCTCCTAGCGGAGACAGCGGCTATGTGCAAGATCCTCGCGGCTATGGCTCAAGAAGAGGCAGCTACGTCACATCACAACCTTTGCCTGCATACTACGGAAATGTGTCTCCCTCCGTCTACCATTCGCAAGCCGAGTGTGGTAATCCAAGTTTTATCCGGAGCCAAACATACCCGAATGACCGGCGCTTCAACCAGCCTTCGACTTACCAAACAACACAATATCCGGATTATGGACGCAACGCATACGATGTTGATCATAGGGTATTACAAACGAAGTACTACCCAAAGCCACCATTGTGGATTCCAAATCCTCAAAACAATTCGATACGAGACGGTTATTACGAGGGTACTCATCAGCAGGAATACAACGCTCGAATGAACGTACCAGGATATGCCTCGGATGTTAGTTCCAATGGCTATCAATTCACAGAACCTCAGAGACAGACGAGGTACTCAGAGTTACCCACGAATAATGATATACCCCAGCAACAGAACAGTGCCAATCTCAATGCAGGCCGAGGATATCCTGGTACGGCCCATTCAAGTATAAGCCCAACCCGACAGAACGAGATTCTCAGTGGAGGATTATTCTCGCAGATTAAGAAAGGGGATGCCGCCGCTGTGAAAAGACTATTGGAACAAGGCGCTGACATTGAGAAGACCAATGTCGATGGGCTGACTCCGCTTTGGTGTGCAGTACAGCTTGGGAAATGCGACGTTATCCAAGTACTTCTTGATAAGAAAGCGGATATTGAGTCGCTAAATACTCGCGGTCAAAATATTTTGGAGTGGGCTGTGGAAAATCGGGAGCAGAAAATTATTGACATGTTATTCCCATGAAGATGTATTTCAGTTGTGTTGGGGACTTAGATATACCTAGTTGAACATGTAATTGATATGGGAACCAAAAAAATCGACTACCAAATGCGGGCTGCATTTCTACCAGCTATAGTTTAACAAGGTCATACATCACTGGGCATCCAATTATGCTGAGATCAGTATTGTGTCTACTTGAGATGGGTCTCAGACAGCAGGTGAATAAACACAATGGCGTCAAAAGCCCAGGTCCAATTACTGCGATAGGTATGGTGTGAGGCTCTTGTCAACCGTAGATTTGTTCCTTATGAGGCTAAAGCGTCATACCTAAAAGCAAGGCGAGCATGGAAGGGGCCGGCGCTAAACCATTCCCTCCAATTATGGATTCTTTTCATGAGTTAGAGTTTAATATATCGACGTATGTTGAGAGATGGCTTGAGTTTTGCCTTGGAAAATGAAGCCTATGGAGGTATTCCCTACATGTTTAGCCATGTTTGGCTCATGCTGTGCCTCGTATCTGAGAATTGAATGCAATGCCATGAAGCACGAGTGGTGTAATCAAGGTACAAGTAGCCGATATACACCTGGCATTTATATAAGGTGACGAATTCTCCGATCGTGTCTACCTGCAGAAAGAATATATTAGGATTCGGCTGCAGCCGAATCACCCATACCACTCCACTAATATATAAAGTTAATGAACGTATGTTACATGTAGGCCGCGTCCTATTAATTTTTATGTGGACCAAAAATGAGCTCAAAATCTCTCGGCCATCGTTATCACAAATATTAGTATTAGGCTTTTGTCAGACATGATAGTATCGAATGACATTATATATTTTCTATCCGCTGAAAAGCCAAATGAGGGGCCGAGGCATAGGATTCTGTCATCTGCATTGGATAGGCAGTCAATCGCGTTCAAACCGGTGAGAGCTAGAGCAGGCAGCCTTGCAGTGCATCGTTACACAAAAAGCTGGCGGTGCCTGAATGGTTCAATGCTGGCCTCGTGGGGCTATATCTTAGACAATTTGACTCGTATTCGACAAAGAATTTGTTCAATTAGCTTGCGTTCGCGTCACCGAGACTTTCAGCCACATGAGTCAGTTTGTTTGCAGACTTAGGTACATGTATTCGTGCCCAAGGGGGAGAGGGCTACCAAATTGTAACAAAGGGGTGCCATGGATGTGCATATCAATGTGTGCCTGCCGACACGGTGTTGCCCCTCGACTTGATACCTCTCAGAGCTGCCTTGAACATGATTTGGGATTGTTCATATGCCACATGCAAGCCATAGCATCGCTCACAAAATGCAATTTGTTAACCGCGTGTATCCGACACTTCGTCCCTACTCGCCGATTTGTGTATGTACATAGGCCGCAAGCAAAAACTTTAAAAACTTTGGCACTGTCTTGGTATTCGCTCGCATGACCTTTGATACGTGTACTTTCAATGCTGCCCCCGCGTCAACCACCTTCAGCCTCATCTGATTCAGAAGACACCTCCAAGGGAACGTCCCCAGCAACATCGCTCTCAGATGACCAGCAGCAAGAAGACGAGAGCGACGATTTAATGTCTCGACCAAATCGCCGAAGGCGCGAAGGCACGAAGGAGAAGATACTCTCAGAGGTGAGGGGGTTGGTAGGACTGAAAGAAGTCAAAGAACAGTTTGACAATATCGAGAGCTGCATTCGCATTTGCCACCTCCAGCAAACAAATCCCAGAGCAGAGCGTTGGCATGCCGTTTTCCAGGGAAATCCAGGAACCGGTAAGTCTCTGCTTATCGTTCTAGTTTCTAGTAGAAAAGGGTGTTGACGCTACTATGAAAGGAAAAACCACCGTTGCTCGACTATATGCAAAGTTTCTGCGATGCATGCACATCGTCCAATCGCGAACATATAAAGAGACCTCTGGAGCACAACTCGTGTGTATGGGACCGAAAGAAGTCAAAGAACTATTTGAATCACCAGGTGCCAACCCGCTTCAAAGTTTTCTAGGCGGCAGAGCTCCCCAGCGGCTAGCGCCGCCGCGCGGCGGTCATTCCGACGACGATGACGATGATGAAGATGATGACCCAGCGTCATTTAAGCGCACCAGCTCTTCACTTGAGCCAGGCTGTCTCTCGGACGGAGGAGTTTTGTTTGTGGATGAAGCATACCAACTCACCGCTCCACATGTACCAAGTTCCGGACGTCAAGTTCTAGATATCATCCTTACGGAGATTGAGAACAATATTGGCAATCTGGTTGTCATATTTGCGGGATACAAAGAGGAGCTTGAATCGTTTTTCGGACACAATCCAGGACTGCAAAGTCGAATACCACATATCTTCCCCTTCAAAGATTTTAACGACCAAGAATTGCTACATATCCTCGCGAATCGGATTCAGAAGAAATATAATAGTAAAATGAATGCTGAAGATGGACTCTATGGAAAATTTATGCGGATAGCTATCCGTCGACTAGCCAGCAGCCGAGGGAAGAAAGGATTTGGCAACGCTCGTGCCGTGGAAAACGTCTTACTCAAAATATGGGAGCGACAAGCTAAGCGACTATCGAAGTATAAACATTTAGCACAGGGTCATGTTTTCACATTTACAAAAGAAGATATACTGGGGCCAGATCCTGACGACGTGAGACGTACAAGCTTAGCTTGGAACAAACTTAACCAGCTTACCGGACTGAAGGAAGTCAAAGAGTCTATTAACAACATGTTTGAGGCGCTTGTGGTGAATTACAAACGAGAAATGGCCGAACTAGCACCGTTGACCTTTTCATTGAATAGAATCTTTATCGGCTCACCAGGTACAGGCAAAACAAGTGTTGCCAAATTGTACGGCCAGATATTGGTTGACTTGGGCTTACTTAGTAATGGCGAGGGTAGGTATACGTATCGCCTCTGCTACTCTGCTTTATTGATTGATGGCTCTCAGATATGACTAACACTTGACATTTTGACAGTGGTCACCAAGAATCCTGCCGATTTTATTGGAGAGGCTGTCGGGAAATCAGAAGCAAACACCAAGTCTATCCTGGCTGCTACGGTCGGCAAAGTCCTCATCATCGACGAGGCTTATATGTTAGATCCGGGAGAGTCGTCTAAGCACAGTGATTCATACAGGTCCTCTGTGCTTGATACACTGGTTGCTGAAGTGCAAAGTGTACCCGGAGAAGATCGCTGTGTAATTCTTCTTGGGTACGAAGATAGACTAAAAGAGATGTTTCGCAACGCCAACCCGGGCCTCTCCGGGAGATTTGCAGCAGACAAACCATTTCGGTTCGAAGATTTTACTCCCGTACAACTTTGGGATATCTTGAATAAGAAATTAGCGGCTCGGAACTTGCAGGCAACGAAAGAAGGATTAGCGACCGCGATGGAGGTCTTGAACCGAGCCCGAATGCGCCAAGGCTTCAGCAATGGAAGAGAAGTGGATAATATTCTGTCTTCAGCAATGGAGAACCACTTACAAAGACAGTCGAAGACAAATGGGCCTAACTATGGTCATGATATGATCCTAAGTCCAGAGGATTTTGATCCAGACTACGGCCGAGCCAAATATGCGGCAACCAATTGCCGAGCCACCCTACAAAATCAGGTATCAAAGTCCATCATCAGTCAATTGGAGGAATACCAGCGATTACTCAATATTACTAAACTACGAGGGGCTGGCGCTGCTTCTCTTGTCCCAACCTCATTCGTCTTTAAGGGACCGGCAGGTACGTTACACGGCTACCCTCATTTACACAAACCATAAGTCCTTTCAGCAATTCGTAAATAGATGAGAAGAGGAGATGTTAATCTATACATAACCACAGGTACTGGAAAGACGACAGTTGCTCGATATATGGGCACTTTATTATACGACCTAGGGCTCATTGCCACCAAGACATTCGTCGAGTGCTCGGCGTCAGATTTTATTGGCGAGCACGTCGGCCATACAGCTCCCAAGACCAGAGCGCAATTTGAGAAGGGCCTAGGAGGAGTCCTTTTCATCGACCATGCCCATCAACTTAATCAAGGCGGATATGGTACCGAAGCGATCAATGAGTTCGTCCGTCTTCTTCAAAAGCACAGCGGGAAAATTGTCATTATTCTAGCGGGCCCTTCTGAGGAGATCGAATCACTCATGGCAAAAGCACAAGGGCTCGATAGCTCTTTCTTTAAGGAAATATTCTTCCAAAAGCTGACAGCCCAAGAATGCATGGCATTCCTAAGGAAAATACTAAGCGAAAATGGAATCAACGACTGCTTCTCATCCAATCAGGCAGTCCACCACATTTTCACAAATCAGTTTGAAATACTGTCAAATCTAACACATTGGAAGAATGCCAGCGATGTGAAGTCATTGTCACAGTGGATGGTCATGGATGCTCTGACAAATTGGATCCCTCAAGGCCAAGGCAGCATAGGGCCCAGTCTGTCAATCACACAGGCAAATCTTTACTTCCAGAAAATGTTCGACAAGAAGACAGCTATGCAAATGAGCGACCCTAATAATATAGTGGACCTCTTCCGCCAAACTGACTCTGCTCATATGGCGAACAGTTTCCACATGTCAGAAGACAAGTCCGAGGCTAAGTGTGAGGCCAAGTGTGAGGCCAAGTGTGAGGCCAAGTGTGAGGCCACTTTCAATACACAAGCTGTACACGCAGCCACAGACATGAGGGTTTCAGTAGACATGGAAAAGACAGCACATGTGGCTTATGATGAGCAGTGGGATAAAGTCAAATCTGTACAAGAAGCTCTGAAGCATATTGGTCAATGCGAGGCGGGTTTTGACTGGGTTAGAGAAGGAAGCGGCTACAGGTGCAAGGGCGGAAGTCATTATGTGACTGACTCGCAGATACAGTCTTATTCCTCATGATGTTACATATTGGTTCGGGCGGAGGCATTTCTCATTCATTTACTTACTACAGCACTCAATGTTTCTCGAAATTTGTCGTATTCTCCCACAGAAATGTATTCATTCAACTATCTACTTATATTATCCATGTACAGACGTTGCATGTCATAGCGTATCATCCTATTGCCAAGAGCAAATAAAGCGTCTACTGAGCGGCGCAGAAAGCCTGGACAGCTGGGAACGCTTGGTCTATAACAAAACATGTCAATATATTTCCCCTTTAAATTACTTCTATCCGCTTCGTCCACCAAGTGGAAATTGGTCAACTCACTCGTAGCCACATCTTCGCCACAAGCAGCAACAACACAAGGAGCGCCGGCCGCGGAAACAGCGCTTATGCTAGGGCAAGCGCAGGCAAAGTCGGTAGATGCGCAAGAAGTCTGAGAGCTAATGGCAGACTCAATGCAAGGAATAGCACAAGCAGGAACGCCGTTGATGGTTTGGCCGTAGACGACGGTAGCAAAGGTAGCGAGAACAAGAGTGAACTGCATTTTGAAGATTGTAGAAGCTCGAAAGTAAGAAGATCTGTTGGTGTCTTGTGATAAGAGGGAGTTGAAGATGAGAAACGTGGCCCGATGGATTATTCCAAGCAAAAAGAAAAGTCTTCGACGAAAAGCTCTTATTTATCTAGTCTATGAATGAGTAGAAGCCGGAAGAAGCAGGCCCGCTCATCATGCACAGGTTCTTTCTCGATCTTTCATGATTTCGCAAAGATTTTCCACGAGGACGTTTAGTTGATCCCACAAATGTAATCAACATGTAGATCTATTTCCTCATCTTGAAGTGCCGCGCCTAACATCCTGTGCCTGCATGCACCCCAGATGGACATCGTGATTGACGGAGCAAGGGCATGGAAACCCCATTTCGTTTTTCCCTTCCAAAGCAATTGAATTGCTTACTGTCAGCAAATGAACCCATGTGTAATCTATGTGACATTGAATCTTGCGGTGAATCGTACCCTGGGTGATGAGTCATTTGGGCATCGGGTCGTCGGTGATGAATAGTAAACCACAATCTAAAGAATATCCAATCCCTAGCACCAGAAAGCTGGCTCTGTTATATTACGTTTCGTTTACTTTAGACCGCATACATACCGGTGCGCTCACCTTATTGAATAGAGAGAGCGAGACGACTGAACGTTTTGTATTTCCTCATGGAATATTGATCAATCTTCCAAACACCGCATAGACCCAATGACCGAGTCACAACTTTCGTTAAGAAATAATGCTTTTTAATACAACATCATCAATAGTGACCTCGTATAGTAAGGACGTCATACCAAGTTCCTAGCAAAGGCGCATCGCCTCGGTACTACATAAGTCGTTTTATGGCATATCTTGTCTTTAAACGACGAATCCAAATAGGGTTATAAGTAGCAACGCCATTGAAGTTAGCTGAGGCTCGGCAGTCACGGTGCCAGCATCAGGGATTTCGGGGATCCTCAACTACCAGCATATTAGGCACCAGTAACGTCCCCTCCGTGAAATAGCAAATGGAAGTTACCAAATTAGTCACCACTAATCAATATTCTATCAGCAATGACAGGAGAAAAATTGACAGGCCGTTTTGTGGGGTATACTGGCAATGAATCGTCCGTAGAGCGACCCACTACGGCCCGTCGCTCGACCGAGGCCCGCGAGGATGAAGCATCTAATGAATCAAGAGCGTATTACGTGTAAGTTCGTTCATGATAGTACAGTAATGAGCTATTAGAGGCTACCGTGACGTCTTTCTCGAGATTGGGCATATATGCTTTATCAGTTTGACAAAACAAAGTACGCAGCTGCACCTAAACTGAATATGAAAGTCCGGCTGACCCTACACTCCTCAGTCGAAGTCTTACCAATATGGTGATCTCCATCTTTCTCCAGATATGACATGGACCAATACAGTAACCTCGATGGCCCGAAGCTTCTGTAAAAATACGCTTTTAAGCCCACCATATTTCCCAGAAGGTCTCTAACCGAGCCTCCTGGGATCATATGTAACCGGAGTTCCGGGACATTCTAATCCCTGGCTGCATGGTATGGATCTGCCGGCATAGTGACCGTTACATTCGCCATAAGCATGCATGAAACTCCATCACCAACGCTTGTTACCCACAGAATGAGTATCGTAGCAGTCACGATGAATAGAAAAAGCCCAGCGTAATGCTTTTCACATCTATCATATTATTCATAAAGGTTCCACTTCTTCGCCCTAAGACTTCACGAGAGGCCAACCACCTCGTAGTTCCAATTGCAAGTGGCGTTGGAGCTCTGAGCCGATACTTGCTTTGTGCCTGTGGCCGAGGCAACCACAGAACCGGCACTGTTCACAACCTGTATAAATTGTCCACTCCCAACACTCAACCCAGGAACAGCACCATAGTTAAGGCCCGAAGAACCAGCAAAGCTGCCAATCAGTTTGCTATTGCTATACACTTTGATCGTGTACCCACTTGAGGGTAATAAGACAGCATAGTTAACTGTGTCCTGGCCCTGCTGGTAGTTCTGAATAGATGGCGAACAGCTGGCGCTCTTGAGCAACGTGCGATACCACAACGAACCGACGGGCGTCGATCCAGGAGGCAAAATCTGGCTGCCACTGGTTGCGCCAGATTTGTATGCCTTGATGAAAGGTGTCACAAGCTGCTGCCATCCAGTGTGGTCGAAACCATTGGCATAGTCACCAATGGTTGAACCTGCAATCTGCTCCTGGAAGAAGTTGCCGATATAATGGCCTTCTCCTGCGTCGTTCCATGTGATTAATTCCGCAAGATCTGGCTTGAGTGCTAATACCTGTTCAAACCGCTGTGGTAGATTGACTTCACCAATGCGATACCAGTCTTGACCTGAGCCGAGATACTTGAACTGGAAACTAGACACAGCTATAGAACGGGCGGAAAATTAGCGACTGAACTGAAGAAGAGGAGCAGTTAATAGAGGAAAGGTAGGAGCCACTCACGCATCATGAATACTTTTTTCGCGGCTTGTGCCTGTTGGAGAAGATTATGGTCATCGCTGCTAGAAACGTTGGAGATGGTGGTACCTGGAGCGGGCCATGCCGACTCCCAACTAAAGGCGCCGTCAACAACAGGATAATTCGAGAAGAAGTTATTCGGCCACCCGCTCCAGTCACCAAAATTGGGAACGAAGTAGGGATTGATGCCTTGGGAGACGAGAGGCTGCTGAAATCCTGACGCCCAGTCAGAATTCGCAATGTAGCCACCATCATAGGTGCTGACAAACGGTCGACCAGAGATGGTGTAATACGACGGACGGGAAATATAGTTGCGCAGAAAAGATGGAATCTGCGAGGGTGTAATAGCACGCCAGCTCATGTCAAACGAAATAAATAGCTTGAAGCCGTTCTGATCTGCCGCATCGAATAGATATCCCAAAGCATCCAGTGCCCAAGAAGACGTGATGTCGTGCGTATTTAGCGCAAAAGCATCGAAGCCTACTGCCTTTGCATCTTGAACATCTTGAACCGCTTCTGCTTGAGTCATGGTTCCAACCATGTAGTGTGCGAATCTGTGGAATACGGGGCCGCGATATTAGCATCAAGGAATTAAGTTTACCTGGTCTATTGGAAGAGCATCTTCACTTACACCGCTCTCGGGACTATACTCCCTGTTGGTCCACTTGATGCAGTTGACTTTGTAGAAGTGGATTTAATCGTTGTCTGAGAAACTGAAGTACTAGATTTTGTTGTCTGAGAGACCGAGGTGGTGGATTTTGTTGAAGACACCGATGTGACAGGAGTGCCTGTTCCTTTGCTGACCTATGTCACATTTATATATTAATGTCACGAAACCGCCACAATATTCAGACCTCTTACCAATGATGCAGTAGAGTATCCAGACGGAACTGTAGTGCCACAAATGCCAGCTACAGATCCCCCATTCTGAAATGCTCCGGTCAGACCAACTTCGCAACAGAATCCGTTTCCGAAACTTCCTGTCCATAAGGACCAGGCTGGACTCGCGCAACTGGGGGCACCTTCGACGCTGCCTCTACAATTGCTTGCTGCTCACATGAATCCACTATCAGCTCACTGTTGTAAATTTCTTTTGCATTTTACTCACTTGTAGGACAGCAAGCCTCCACTTCGCCATTCCCGGTCGCTTGACAATGTGACGTTGAAGGACAGCAGGACCCGTTTCCGCAAGACTGGGTATCGGAAGGACATGACCCCGATTGCAAGGACCAGCCTTGGCCGGCGACAGCCCGAAGTTGAAGAGGCGAGAAGGCGGCCGACAGGACCGGGGACGAAAGAACTCCGACAACGATGAGGGATGTTAATGCCTTCATGGTTGCTTATATGTGGCAGACGCCAGAGAATCCGAGGAATCTACAGTATAGAGGTAACAAGAGTCACCAGATGTTTTGGGTTACATTTATACTACCCACGCAGGAATTCCAAGCATATATATACATGTCTTCAACTCCTTCTCACTTACTGAAGGCTGAATGTGATAGCTCCCGGCAAAATATCTCTGGTGAAAAAGGCGAAGGGCGAGGTCCGCTTTGTGAATTAACCTCAATTTGCTATAGCGACCATGACAACGACAAGCAGCTGCCCAAAAGCTCGCAATTGCATATTCTTACCCTGGTGACAAAGTCTTGGTATCAGTCTTCATTGGAAACTATTTGACGAAAACGTGCAGAAGAATCCTGGCCGGCTTCACCCCGCATTCTCTTTTCTCCACACGGGAATCGGCCCGTGTTCGATGCTAATAAATGTCCCGTGATTCTAGTTCCGGGCGAACACGGAGTTGTGCCTTATTCTGGCTTCTGCTCTTACGATTCTTCACTGTTTACCCATTCTGTGTGATACATAGGGTTAACCTTTGTCTATGTAAACTCTAGTGTAGCATTGGGGCAAGAAACTTGACTTTCGTTGAGAGACAAGCAACCTCGATTCCAAAACATCCTGCTGTGTACATATTCTCTCGTTGATGAATGGAGAAAAATGATTTCCGAAGTGCTACCCCTGCAAGTCAAACACGATGTAACAGCATGCCTTCTAAGAGTATGCGTTTATGCAGAAGCGGCCCTATCAACGCCCAGCCGAGCACACTGATCTAGCGACGGGGATTGAAATGCCTTAAGCGAACTAGGCCTGGTTTTGCATGCCGTCAACCAATCTTGCTGCCTGAATTTCTTTAGTAAAGATTTGGGCGAGCTTCAAAGTTCAAGGGATCAAAAATGCACCATCCATCTGTCTCATGTTGTAACGAAATTCTTATGACATTGCGCCTATCTGACTAATTCATATACCAGAGATCCAAATCCAAATCAAACACATGTTAAAAGAGTGCGTAGCTCATAACAAAACATTCATCTGTGCCTTTATAATAGCCGTTTACTCCTGAAAGGTGCCCTTCAGAGGCAGATCGTCATCATACTTGCCCTCCTCCTTCTTCATGTGCTTGTCAAAGCTCTGTGTAGACATCTGCACCTTGTCAAACAGAACCCTATCCAATACCGGCGCAGCGGGCGGCAGC